AAAGACTGGTAGAACAGAAAGATAAATTAGACGAAGAGGGATTCAAACACAGGGATGGTGCGAGACCAACTTCTTGTTAGTCCTGTCTGCTCTATCGTCACTTAATTTTCGATCGTCCATTTTTCATTCTAGCTAACAATCGCCAAGAAATGATTCTCAAAATTAATTTTTATTAATGAAAAGCTTAGTTGTTAAAGCTTATATTTAAAAATTTAAAGCATGATGAATATATATATATCTATATATATATAAAAAAATTTTATTTATTTTTTTTTTTAAATTTATTTATTATTATTATTATTATTTTTTTTTTTAATGAACATGTGGCAGTAAGCTATTGTTACCAATNACTTTATTTTTTTTTTAAAATTTATTTATTATTATTATTATTTTTTTTTTTTTGAAAATCCACTTGCACTCCACTTATACTACGTGTTTTTAAATACATAAATCTATTTATTTTTCGGTTCTATTTTTGTATTAATTTTGCCTATCCTTCATTCTTGTAACTGTCATAGAATTGTTTGAGCGTTACATCCGTTCTCATGACATTTTTGGATGAAAATAAAAACATGACATTGGCAACAATTTTTTTTTATTTACTTGGCGAATTTCGAGGCCATTGTATTACGTATTTATGTAAAAAAATTTAAATAACTATCTTTCTTACTATTTTTTCGAAAATAAAAGAATATTAGGACTAAATGAATTTAATTATCGGTTTAAAATTTCAACGTGTATGTACTACTAATCTTTAATTTTTTTCTTCTTCCCTAACTAAACTTCTAAAATGAATGTACTAACTTGTGTAAACTAGTGCCCACTTCGAAAATGGGTACATATCGGATTAAAATATTATTTAAAAAAAAAAAAAAGATCTTCAAGACCATAGGATTTAAAAGCACTGTCCTATGCGATATTAGTATTCTCAGAAAAATCGATTAGTAATTAATTCATATCCTGGATATTTGCTTTAAATTTAAGAAAGGTTACATTCTTCTTTTATAGGGTTCAATTCGGCATCTTTCTTACATAACTCATTGAATTTTCTCAGGTTCAGCACACTCCAATATCTTTATCGCTTAACTCTTCATTTCCGACATGCGCACTATTGAATGGGGCCTAATTTCAAGAAGATTTAAGTCGCGTTGCTTTCGATGTAAAAAATTTTAATTCCACTTTAAAATTTTACAAATTAAGAAATAGCAAAAATTATATTTCCAAAAAAAAAATATATATAGTAATAATAATTATTTTAGTAAATAAAATTTGCATGAGAGAAAGCTATCGTTCAAAGGATCAGAAATGAATTTTTGATTTGCTCAATGACTTTCATTTAAAGTTATCTTCTGTTCAAAACTCATTTTATTTATAAAAACTATAACAGATTGCACGAAAAATCAGATAAACAAAATGGATTCATTATAATACCATTATTTGCGTTTATTGAGTCCTGTTTGTCCCCTCGTTAACAATTATTCAATTATGAACCTGTCTCACGGCGGTGTATGTATAAAGTCATAACAATTTAAGTCAAATTCATTACTTTCCTCCAAAAAGTCCTTTTATATCCTCCTACGTTAAATTGCTGCTATTAATTACCATTTCCACATCAGATCCCATTCATTTTCTACTCTCTTGTGTCTTTATTTGGCCATCTAATTCGCCAAAATCTATCTGGGTTAAGTGTGGCAATTTTCATCAGATCTACCTGTGAGCGAGATTTTTTTAAATTTTTTTTTTTTATCAGGTTAGCGGGTGACAGAAGATCTTTGATTGACAGACAGGGATCAAGTTTTCCTTTGCTTTCTCTTAGGTTCATTGTTTTATTTTGATTTCATTTTCACTGTCTTAGTAGTAATGTAAGTGCGTGACAGTCATAACACAAAAAGCTTCAGACTTACTTAAATCGCAGAACCGTAACACTATTTCCTGAGGCTCTTAATGAGACATTTTTTTTCCCCTTCTTTCTCTCTCACCCCCCTTTTTTTTTCACTTCCCTTGTTGACATCTTACATTCAGTAGTTTATTCTCATTCGTATTTTTGAAGTTTAATTTTGTTATTATAGTGTCTTATTCTTATCTTTCCTCGATGAAAGAAGTTTCTTACTTAGACCCGAGCCGTTCTTACTGTTATCGACACAAAGCGCAGTAATAATTAGCAATTAAAACAAGGTTATAATTTACAAGTAATTTTATTATTTTATATCCGTCGATGAGCCCCAATTTTGAGTTTACGACAACCCATGTTCAACTCCGCAATCTTGTAATTTTGAGCCCCATATAGAAGGCACGCTTGTATCATGTATTTGGAGAAATTTACCTTCGTGGAAGACTTTTTGATGGAACTTACCCACATTTGCGTAAAATGGAACCACAAAAACCTCACACACTTAACCTGACGGCAAGGGAACTCTAACCATTACCAATCAAACTGTATCACTGAGGATATTTTACGACAGAACTGTGGTCAGTGCGAAATTCGTATTGACTAGCCATCGCTGGGATTTGAACCCGGCTCACCTCATGGGAAAACGAGTGCTTTATCCCCACACTGCTCAAGTAATCTATTTGTACAAAATATATTTTTATTTATTAAATTGAGAAATAAATAAATATAATGGAAAAAATAATTTATCTAGTGTGGAATTTCTAGACAGAAATGTTTATTTTTTTATGAGAATGTATTAGGAAAGATGTAGAAAAGATCAACTTCTTTTGTATCTGCGATTTTATCTTACAAAGCACGGAAATCGTGTTTTTATTATAAAAATTAAATTCTTGCACTTTTTGTAATTAATTAAGCTTTTTAAGTGTTTGCATAAAAGATATTTTTATAGCAATGTTAATAATAATTTTCTGATAATAATGCATAAAAAAGAGAAATTTTTTTAAACGGATTCTGTTAAATAATTTATTATATCCATTAAAATGTTACCCTCTTTTTTGACTTTAAACTATTTTATAGGTTATGCATAAGAGCTCATTTATTTTTGCTCTGTTGATTTTATGGTTCTAATGCATAAAGAAAATAATTTTTAACCATGGCTATGCTATACTCATTTCATTTTTCAAAACTGTCGAGCATTTCTTCTTTCATATTCACTGAAATCTGTTTGAAACTGGTTTTACTATATTCAATTTCGCACAACCGAGAGCAATGTCGGTATCATTCTTCGGTAAATTCCAATGTCGGTAAATTCCAATTATTATTTAGACAGTCATGCCTGAGTGATCTCATCAGACGCTTCCTTCATGTGTTGTTATTCGGACAGACAGTATCAAATTTAGTTAAATCCACATGCCATTCATAAAAAATGTCTCTATGAAATCAAAATTCTTGTCACTTTAGAAAAAAGTTTAATTTAAGTGGCATTGAATGCATTGTGTATTTTTTTTTTTTTTTCCATAAGCAGTTTTGTTAGGTGCAATTTTAAAATTCACGCTACAATTATTTTCCGAAATTCAAGCTTTTATGGGAATACCATTGATTAAAAAAGTGTGCTGCGTTTTCTGGGAAACCTTATTTTAATTTGAAATTCTTTTGCATTGCTTACATACCGAAAGAAGTCCCGTCGGTAGTTTCATTACTTTAATTGAAATCACTCAAGCGGCCTAACAAACCACCTTTAAAAATTAGGTTAACTATGTCTTGAATTGATTGGAATAAAAATAAGATCAGATTTATTCCAATTAGTTATTAAATTGCGTTGTCTACTTATTAAAATAACATCCTTTTAATTCTTGATATCGATGTGTAGATTGGAAATTTTGGTTGATTTTATTAAGGGACTGCAATTAATTGCCTATTTATAATTATTGTTTCCTGAAGAACTTTCCCTCGTATGTTTACCACTTTTATAACATTTACATCGAGTCGTTCAAAAGATGTATGATCTATTACATGATTTATGCACATAATCTATTTAAATTACTAATTCCCAAATAATGATGAATTATTCAATTATTTTACTAACTGTAATTCAGTCAGTTTTCTGTCTGCAAAATTGCTGTGAACCTTAAGAAGTTATTAGTTACCATTTGTTAAAATGTAAAAATTGTCAATGAGCAGGCAATTTTTAACGATTTTACTTTTAACTATATTGAATTCAAAGAGAAGTGTACTTATGACAATTGACGGTAGTTATACTAGTTTTTATAGAAATTAGATTTAAATGATAAATTGAGTAAATTGTAAATATAGATTTATTACCAGTTAAAAGAGTCAAAGAAGAGGTTCATCTCAATGGGTAAAATGTCCAATATTCAATATTATAACAGCTTTAAAATTTATATTGAAAAACATACTGATTTTAATCTTCAACTTGTTTTATTTTGAGAAAGAATTTTTTTCTTTTTAAACTGTTTCTTGTTGAGATTTTTTTGTCACACTGGCTTTCCGTATAAATAATCACTCACGTGTTGATGAATTCTCGATTTTTCTACCATGATTTCTAAGTGTTTTAGTTTATCCTAAATTCCTTCATCGATATGTCATCGATTCTTCGTCGAATTTGAAAATTTCAGTTATTTGTTTAGAATGGCATTATTTTTTTTTTAATAACGGCAGGCACTGAACTTTCGTTCTTCGCCTTAGAAGATGCCGGAAGTGTTGCTCATTTATCGTTACCCAGTGGGCACCTGAAAACCAAAGTCACGGATGCGAGCAACATTACTCACGCCACACTGCCACAAATACCCGTTCATAGGGTGGGCCACATTCATACATTCACACATCAGAAGACAACACACAGAGAGAGAAACATCCATGCCCAGAGCGGGATTCGAACCCGCTGCCATTGGCTTCGTAGTCAGGAAAGCTAACCACTCGGCCACCTGGCCGGCAGAGTGGCATTATCGTTTATGCCAATTTACAATTTTGTAAATTTGTTACTAACGTTTTGATTATGAATGTTAATTTGTTGTTCAGTGAAATTAACTCTTTAATTTATGATTGTGTATTGTAAGCGCTGTGATATATCCTAATGTTTTTGTTTTAGATCTCAGATATTATTACACATCAAACAGATGAGCGAATTAGCGCAAAAGAAGCGCTTCTACGGTGGGCACAAAGAACAACAGATCGCTATCCCGGTGTGCGTGTTGGCGACTTCACCAAAAGCTGGAGAGATGGCCTTGCATTTAATGCTATCATTCACAGAAATAGGTATTTATTTCTTGTTCAGTATTATAATACACACAAGCAGGGAGAGCTCAGGAAACACCTCCTAGAAAAGAGTAGGCCTCTGCACGGGTTACCATAAATATCCTTTAGTAGTCCAAACGTAATGACTTATTTCGTATTTTCAACCACTGCGCATCTTAGTACCCCGAACGTAATGACATCTTTCTTATTTTTCATCAACTGCGCAGTTAACTTCGTCACATCGGACTACTAATTTGATCCGTGCTGAGGCCTTCCTTATTCTAGGAGGTGTTGGCTCAGGGCGCTTGCCTTCCAATACAGGAATCTACTTCTGGCTCACACAGTGCTGACGTATTCTTTTAACCCTCTGTATTTTCCCCCTGATTCTATTTAATTATTTTATTGCAAATTAAACTAAGAATACTCTTATTTCTTTTTAAAAATTTCAAAACTATTTATTTTTTTACCTTCATATTTCTATGTTATTCTAGATGAAACTTTTTCTTTGATAGACTATCACATTCAGATAATGTTTTTTGAATGTCTGCATAAAACTGCAGAATAATCATTTAGAATGGATTGATGTATAACGGATAAACTTTTAGAACGTAATTTCATTTGGCAATAGCAAAGCAACGCAAAATGATAGAAACAATGATATTCATTAAAATGCCTCAAAAATACAGTATAACTTAGTTTGAAGAGGCAAGTTTACACAATATTTCTAGCCGTTCACATAACACTGAATTATGCAGTTTTGTAATTTCATTAAAAACTGAAATCCAACTATGTTTGAAAAAATATATAAATGCACTTATAGAATAAATTATTGCTCTTGTCTATTATAAAAATTGAATTAGTCTTTGTCAATAAGATCCTTTTATTTTTCAGACCTGATCTCGTCGATTATCGCTCCTGCCTAAAACGAACAGCCAGAGACAATCTTGACAGTGCTTTTACTATTGCTGAACGCGAGCTTAATGTCACAAAACTTCTAGATCCTGAAGGTAAATATTACACTGACTTCTTTATATCTATTCTCCAAGTTTGTTTGATTAATTTTTAAGTCAATTATAACTCATGCAAGCTTAAGTACTTTAAACCAACTATTATAGAACATGTGAGTATGTTTGTCTTTATTTAAAAGAAAAAAATTTTCCCCCTCCAATCTTCGTAATGTGTCATACTTTTAACCATTAGCAGTATAGAAAGTGTTGCATCTTCTTTCAGATGTTGATACTCCAGAGCCAGATGAGAAATCTCTTATCACTTACATATCTTCTTTATATGATGTTTTCCCTAGGCCTCCTTCTCATAACCCATTTGCGGCTGATGACGTGAGTATAATAGAATTTTTCATTAAAAATTTTTTTAATAGTTTCCAATAATCATGAAAAATATTATATTTTATCTCATAGTTTTCCGCGTTATTTAATTATTATACTTTACTATACCTTATTCTGATCCAAGACTAGGGTTTTTCTACATTAGAATTTTAAAAATAAAATGTTGTTTTAAGAGAATATCATAGATGGAAATTTAAGTCTAGAAATTATTTGTTTCAAACAGAGCTGCTGAACAAACTTAAAAGAATGCTGTACACTTCGAGATAATTCGCAAAGCGATTTCTCCCCCCTTCATTTATAAGATGGAATTTTTTTTTCCTAAATGAATTAAAATAAAAAAAACATTGAAATTTCACTACTTAAAATATTTATTTCGTTGCTGTGGTTTAATATAATATACATAAGTTAATATTTCAGTGTAATGTTTATAAGGTATAATAGCTATTCTGAGATTACTTAAATTCTTTAACTGTCGTTTTTGGGCAAATTTGCACCAGAGAATCTTGCTCGAAAACAAATTTTAGATAAGGAGCTGTTAAGTTTCTTTGTATCAGTCGAATTCTTTCGGTTTTAAGGCAATTTTCTTTCACATTGAACTGAATTTGGGGCTAGATATTAAAATGTTTGCATGTTTATAAAACTATAAATCTTAAGTTTTTTTTTTACATGCTTTTTTTTTCCATTTTAACTGTATCATTGTGAGTTTGTCTTTTATATTTTCTTTATTTTTTTTATTATACTCTTTATTTAATGGTTTGATTTGAGGGAAAATCAAATTAAGGACAAGGATTTTAAAAATAAGACAATTTTAAATAATTTCAACAAAAAAGATTTATTACATTTTGTTTCAACATTTGCACTAATGAAACAATTTAATCTTGAAAGAGTTCTGACTTGAAAGTATTCAATCTTTTTCTTAGTTAAAAAAAATTATACTATAGCGCTCCTTTGTTTTGTCTGTATTATAGGCAATTAATGTTATTATTATATCCTATTTCGTTATAATTCTTTGTAATTAGCATGTTTATTATCTTTATCTAGCATATTTGTGTTCATATTAAAAGTGTAATCTTTGTTTGACCCAGACTAAGAATTCTACTAGTAGCTCTTTATAAATTAAATTTTAAATGATGCTTAAAAGGTCAGACTTTGAAAATAAATAACAAAATATTTCCTGTAAATCTTGTATTTTGTAGGAAAAATCACGTAAAGTGGAAGAATATAAAGATTTATCAAGCTCTCTCTTCTTGTGGATGCGAGAATCTTTATCATCTCTTCAGGACAGAAATTTTCCGAATACTTTAGTCGAAATGAAGGTAAAAGAGTATTTCATCATACATAAAAAATACCATAGTCTAAATTATTACATGTCATGAAAAAGATTTAACGTTCTGCGATTTATTTATTATAGTTTAAGGCTCGATTACTGTAATAATTTATTATTTGACCCTTTCTCGTCTTGTGTTGGGCAAAAGCAACATTTCTTTTCTCTTTTCCAGTCATTACTGGCTGATTGTACACGATTTCGAGTTGAAGAAGTACCACCGAGGTTACACGAAAAACAACGATTATCTCATCTTTTCCGTGAAATTCAGGTATGTTTATTGTATTATCTCGAGAGAATATGCAGGGGGTTCTGTAATAACTGCCCTTCATTTACACTTTTGGAATGTTTGTTAAAAATGATTTGATTACTTGTTAAACGGCTCCAAAGCGAGGCTTAAGTATTGTACATTATCAAAATCTAACTTATAGATATTTTCAAATACTTACTTATGTCAGTTAAGGGACAGTGTAATTAAGTATTAAGTTTTTTTTTTTTTTTTTTAGTCAAAATTTTTGGATAAACTAGTTTATATATGCAGTGTATTATTTAAAGAATATTTGTGCACGATTACGACGAATTGAACTACGATGAACTATAATAATAATAACATTTATTTACATAACAGAGGTAAGTTAACACAAGCTGCGGAAGACTGCAGGCAATCCTATTACATGACAATCACGACTATAACTACACTGTATTACAACAAACTTAGGGGAGGCAGCCGGTAGCTGCTTACTTCACACTTTCGATATTGGAATGTGCGCCAAACGCCTTGTGCAAATTAATTCGGCACACTATTCTTAATATACATTTTTGGAATAAAGTAATTTACGCATACATATTAGGGGTCACATGTAAATTTAAATATTGATTTGNAACCGGTTTTGCTATGCAGAGAAGACTGCAGGTTAAAATGCGACTTTTTACGTGCAGAACCGTCAGTGGGTTAATATACATTTTTGAAATAAAGTCATTTACGCATACATATTAGGGGTCACATGTAAATTTAAATATTGATTTGTGACATTTAAATGTGAAAATTTTATCAATATCGTAAAAAACCAAATGGATTGCTGCGGAATGACATAACAAAAACTCTTTATGTTTTATTTGTGTTAGAAGCATTGAAGAATGATTTTTCTTAATAAGTTATACATTTTAAAATGAATTTTAAATAAGTTAAATCAGTTCAAGGATGAGATGCAGTTACTTTTTTAATTCTGAACTCATTTTAACTATTTTTAGTAGCCCCATTATTGGCAAATCTTAATATTTTGAACAAAATTTCTAAAAATTAATACCGAAGGGATGTTTAAAAAAAACTCTGTATTGAAGCATATGTATCAATGAAATATGTATTTTATGTTATTGTGCGTTTTCTGATATTTATTATTTTTTGAAACTTAGAAGATGCACGTAGAAGTTAGTGAGGAGCTTCGTTATGAAACTTTAGAAAGGCTTTGGAATAAAGTTATGGCTGCTCATCAAGAGCGTGATCAAGCTATTCATGATGAGATAGCTAGGTATGTTGTAGTATTTTTTTTAATTCTTTCAATGAACGGAAAATTGTTTTATATTTCAAATTGTCTGTGTTATGTTTTTCAAACAATTACATTCCTTACTTTTTAGTGTTCAGATTAGTAACAGAATGAAATATGTAATGATTTTATCTTATTACTTTCCTGCATGACAAATGAGTTCTTTCTACTATTATTCAGTTTAACGTTAAAGTTTCATATAAACTAGACCAAATTTATTTTTAAAAATACGGGGCAAATTTATTTATTAATTGTATAATGGAGGAGGATAGGGTTTCATAACGTTTTAGAATAGATATTTCTTTTGGAGTTATAAAATCTCATAACTTAAGCAAGTAATTTTTAATAATAAGCTATAATTTATATTTGTTTAAATATAATAGAAATCTTTTGAAAAAAAAATTGGCAAATCTCTCATCCTGACTATCACGAATAACACCAAATTGATTTTTATTTTATTTAATAATGCTTTTATCAAGTATAATATTTATATATTAGGACAGAATTTTTAATTGTCTACTGTATTTGGCACCAAACAACAGTTTTTTAAGATTGGCAACAAAACTGGAAATATAAAAAAATTTGAAAGTAAGAAACAGAAAAGTTAGAGTTCTTTTCAAAGTTTGTTTTTATAGCTTATAGAGTTTAAATGATGTTCAGAGCATTTAAAAAGCAAACTAATTCTGATAAATTGAACTATTTTTTGAAAGGGAGGGAGAAAAACACTATGCGTAAGAGTTGAAAGAAAAATGCATAGTAAATTGTTGATAACACATAAATTTATAAATTTACAACTACTTTTCTAATTTACTTCCCTATTTTTTTCATTAATCGCTCCATCAATTTTATGGGATTAAAAAATTATTTCAGTCTGTTTGATAGGATATCCTTATTATATTGTTTAAGGATCATGCAATGTAAATTATCACTTAATATCTGAAGATGAAATTAAGTTAAATGAAATTACAACTATTAAAGTCTTTAAATAATGTTTTATTAAATATAAAACAGACATATATTAATTTAATCTAGCATAAAATGAACAGCAAAATTTTTTCTTCATAATGTATAGTTAAGAAGCACTCATACAGTTTAACTTAAAAGTACGCATAAAAAACGTTTTAAAAGCAGTTGGAATTGAAATTTAATTTGTTATTACTTCTGTAATAGGCTTGAGAAACTTCAAAGGTTAGCTGAAAAAGTTCACAGAGAGACTAAACAATGTGATGGAAAAATGGATGACATTGAACGGCATATTGCTGAGGTAACTCATCTTAATTTTTTATAATAAATCTTCACTCTTTATAATCTTGGGATGTCATTAAATTATTTCTTCTACTTATTCTGATAGGAAGAGAAAAGAGTTCAACGTCTTCATCCTAATGATGTCAAATATAACTGTGATCAAATCGATGCAGAGCTCAAACATGTAGAAGATAGTTTAAAATCCATGTCCAGGGATGTTCAAACCTTAAGAGATGGCCGGTATCATCAAGCTTTGGAACTTCACAAACGGTACTTAAGATTTCTATTTTTTTTAAATTTTTTTTTTTAGTGTTTTCATAATAAGTAAAACTCATTCATTTTTATTTATTACAATTGTTTTGGAAAATTATTACTTTATTTTGTTCATTTTTCTTTTTATATTTCTAATGTCTTCTTTTTTATAAATGTTATTTGAAATTTTCACTATTCTTTGTTTGCTTTTTTTCTTCTTATTCTCTTATCATGACGAAGTGGCTATATAATGCTATAGTATGGAATTATAATAAAGTTTAAGCTAAAATAGATTATAACTGAAATTAGAACACATCGTGTTCTGTATTTTTGTTACATATAAGTTACTTTCTTTTGACCAGACATAAAAAACTATCAATTTTATCTCTTTTATCCAAATTATATGACTTTGATTAGATGGAGAAAAAAAATAGGTAGGTAAAATTTTTTATTACTAAGCTACTTCTTCTTAAAGATTGAAACCAATTTCTAAATATTAACTTAAAAATGTTAAAAGAATTAATGAGAACATTTAAGAACACTATTTTGATGCTGTCAATGAAAATCATGCACGTAGCCCTGATTTTCAAAGCTCGTATCTCGCCGTGGTAGGAACAACAGGTAATTTTGCCAAATGATGAGGACAGGGTCTATGTCGGTACCCCTTTTCCAAACTCCCACAGCCAATCTATTGATGAGCAGTGTATTGAAACTGCTTTATGCATTATTACTATAATTTAAATCCAGCTCTTATTTTTTATTTATTTATTATTTGTTTTGTATCTACGGTTTAATTTTAATTCTCTTTTAACATTTATTATCAACTATCAATGAATGAAATTGCGATGCACATAAAAAAAATTTTCAAATTTCTTAATTTCAGTGGGAGAATTATGCCCACGGGGGGGGGGGGGCTTTTTGATGGTTACATGAAAAGGAAAATTACCCACGGTTAGCCTGACGGCAAGTGGACTCTAACCCGTTATCCGTCTACCGATGAGGATATTTTACATCAGCACTGTAATCAGCGCAAGCCCGGTGCAGAATTCGTCTTAACGAGCCATCACTTTGATTTAAATCCGGGTTGCCTCATTAGTCAAATACCCTGAGCCACCACGGGTCATTGAAAAGCATTTCTTACATTTTGTTTTGAATAAAAAAGAAGATACTAGCTTTTCTTATTAAATATTTTCACAAATAAAGCATATAAACACTAGAGCCTTGTAGATGTTCTCGTTTCTGCATGCTTTTGTTTTTGCATCAGAAATTATTTCTTATGTCACTTCATTGTTGCTCTTTACTGATAATGTGACCAGTGCAAGTTTTTTTAATTTTATTTTTATACTTTATATTTTCCCAATATATCTTGAAATATCTTAATTAATTTCAACTTCTAAAACTAACTAACAATTTTCATAAAACTAACTTCATTTTCATAAATATACTTATTGCTTCTTAGAATTGAAAATTAATAGAAAATTATTGTGAATTAATGTTGTTTTTGAGTTCTTTATCTTGTATATAGGAATTAGATTTGCAAAACATTTGTATTCTGTAGTGTACTATGTTATACTTCAATTTTATCATAAATTATAAAGTATTTGAGGTACTATACTACAGATGAAAATCTTTTAGGCATGCAATGTATGGATATTCATATATTTTAACAGAACTCCAAAATTAATGAATTTATTTCATGTTTGACTTATTCTGTATACTTTGGAGCACCTTAAAATTCTAAATTTATGTATGATTATTATATATCTTTTTCATTTAGGGTTCAACAGCTTCACGAAAGATTTTTAACTTTACGAATGCATTTCCAAACGAGATTGTTGAATGTTCTTGCTACAAGATCTTTAAAAGCAGAAGAAAAGAAAGTATCCAAACCTAAACCATTGTCTCTTGAAAAACTCATTGAAACAAACAAGCACTTTAAGTTCTTGCAAGAATGTATTGATTGGGTACATAATAAATTAGTGAGTTAATTTTAATATTATATTTAATTTGTGCCTGTTTTCAAAATGTTGTTTTAGTTTCTTTTTTTTATCAGAACTATATTTATTATTTTATAAATGCGCTTAAACAATTTATCTATAAAAAAAGTGCAGGAAAAAAATTTGCAACAAACACTTAGGTGTTCAGGAAAAATTTGTAATGTGACCAGTAAAATATTTACACAGATCCTTCAAATTTCTGTAACTCAATATTTAAGAATTAGCAAAATTTAAAAGAGCTTAAATTTTGCACCATTCATTTTGTTATAAAAGGAAGATTTAAATGTATGTAATAAAATACTTACAAACATGCATATTTAACTGAATGTTTTTTTTATAAAATTTGTTATTGACTATTTTGACTTATTCAAGGAAAAAACGTGGATTTGATATCATATTTTTGAACAGAATAAGTTCACTAACATTGTGTTTAGCGTTATCAAATCAGAATAAGAGCATAGAAATGTTTTTTTCCTTTTATATTATAGATTTGCTAGCCTACATGCTGTTTTGTCAACATACCAACTATTGAAGATACAATAAATATCAACAACTAATAATCGACAAATAATGACTACTAACAATGAAGATACAATAAATATAGTATGGTCCCACCTTTCTAAAATAATTTCTAATTTATTAGCTTACTTTGTGATATTGGTTGCTTGTAGTTACTTTATTGAATAAAGTACCTACTACAGGAATTTTCTTTGGCTAAAAACCTTAGAAATTTTCAATAATAGTTTTAAAATTTGATTGACATTTTCACAAAAACTCATGGTTTCTGTGTGGTTCCTAATGTGTTCTACTATCCATGCGACCTGGATAATTCTCGTGGCAATCAACCTTAAATTTCCCTTTACATTTTTTTTTAAATTTAGTAATAATTTTTCACAAATGCTCATGGATTTTGTTTAATAACTCTTTCTCTAGCATTCTCTTGAATACAATACTTTCAGCGCAACAGTAAACATTCTAAATTATAAGTATAGATTCTAAAAAGTTGAATGACATTAACTTTGAATTTTTGATTGTAATATTTAAATTTTTGGTATCATTAGTTTTATTCATTATTATTATTTTATTTTAGAAATATTTAGAAGAAGCAGACTATGGAACAGATCTTCAAAGTGTTCAAATTTTACTAGAACAACACCATACAGAGCATAGGCTAATTGACCAGTTTCAGAAGAATGTTGATCAGTGCTCTTCACAAAAAGCAAGTTTTAATATTTAATTCTAATCAAACATATTTAATGCTTAAAAATGTTCTTTAAAAGCTTGATAATGTAAATGTTTTTGTTCATTGTTTACTTGCACTTCAATACTGTATAATAATTCAACTGTATAATAATTACAACTGTATAATAATTACAACTGTATAATAATTACATTTCTGTTAATTTTAACAAATATATTTTCTACTTTCAGTCCCAATTCAGAGGGGAAGAACTTGAACTATATTGTAAATTATTATCAAAGCTTGAAAAAGGATATTCAGAAGTTTTAGTAAGTTTTTGTTATTGTTGATAACTCATTTGTGTCTTCGCTTTAAGGATAGTTCTGAAGCACATATTTTGACTGACAATTATTCTTTTCTTTTAAATAACCAACATCAGCAGCTGAATGTTGGAATCTTGCTTTTTTTTAAAATATTTTTTAGTCTTACTCATAAGCTGCTTTTTTCAATGTTAAGTAAAAAAGTGTTGAATTTGTTTAATTATTTTTTAAAATTGTAATTAGTAAACATAATTATCGTAAAATGTCTTATTGTTATCAATAATTTTGTCCTGTGATCAAAAATTCTGATGCATTTTTTTGGGTCACTTTTTCCCAAACTTTAACAGATTTCTAGAAACTTAAGTTTATAAGCCAGATTTTTGTGTCTTTGTCATTAATATATTTCAATAGCTTAATTCGTTATAAGCAACTTTTAATAAGTGTTTTGTTTATTTATTAAAGGTTTTATCAAACAAAAGAATGAGTGATTTAGATACACTGCTAGACTTTATTCAGTCTGCAACCAATGAGCTTATTTGGATGAATGAAAAAGAAGAAATAGAAATCAACAGAGATTGGAGTTCTAAAACATTAAATATTCCAGAAATTGAAGATTATCAAAGAGTAAGTGTAGTCCAAAAATATTGAAATAGTGAGCAACAGAAAAGTGGTTTTCTTGAAAATGAGAAGAGACAAGTTTTGATTCAAATCAATATGACCCCTGCAGGGCAACTTCAGCCGGATTATACCTTTCGTAGGCCCTAGGCATAGCCGTTTTTGGGCCCTCCCCTCCTTCCCCCACTCCTCCCCTCTTTTCAAAATATATGCNCAGCACATTTGAAATGGGTTTAACCCATTTTTATTAATATGGATTTTAATTTACAAATTTGTTTATCGAACTTTATTTGCCAAAAATCGCAAAAAAGTAATATATTGGATCATAAGATTCTGCAAAATAATTTATTACCAAAAAATATTATAATTTTATTTGTATCTTCATAATTTTGTGCAAAATACACTTGTTGTTTTTAAAGCTAAATTATTTTTGTCAACAAATTTTTTCCCCCCAAGTTTTTCGTAGGCCCCTGAATTTCGTAGGCCCTAGGCATGTGCCTAGTGTGCCTATAGGTTAATCTGGCCCTAGGCATGATAAATAAAAGTGTTTTATTGGGTAGTTTAATATAAAATTTTGAAAATTAAAATTTGTTTTGCTTCCAAGGGGCATTTTCTGAATTGAAAATAAATGTCATTGTTATGACACTTATTATATTACTTTACAAAAAATAGTGTAGAATAAAGTATCAAACTATGTATCATGTAGAAAAATCTACATGATACTTAATTTTATTCAAAATTTTTTTTAACTTCTTAAAGTATTATTGTCGAATCCGTAAATCATATACATAATGTACAAAAATCTCTATTTTTATGCAAATAGAAATTTTTTTAAAGATAGGTATATTTGTAAAGGTCAATTAGTTATACAGATTGTGTTATGTGTATTTACTTAAATAAGCACTTTTATGAAGATAAGTATTAGTCACTTATGAGTATGTTTGTTTTAATTTAAACACAAATATTTCTAAATGTCTTTGACAGAACATAGTTGGATAATACTTGAATTGCTACAAAATATTAATCTCATATTTTTTACTTTCTAAAATTGAATCTGTATAATGTTTTGAGTTTTATTGGTCTTATTCTTTACAATCTTGATTGAAGAATTTTTGTTTTCAGGCTTTAACTATTGAGCTTGAAAAGCGTGAAGTTCAGTTTAATTCTGTTCAAGATCGTGGTGAAAGTCTAGTCTTGCAAAAGCATCCAGCTTCAAAGTGCATTGAGGTATGTTTTCTGATGAAATATTTTACTTTTATTTAAAATATATTTCAGTGAATTGTAGATTTCTTAAAGTAAATTATTTTTTGTATTAATCTTGTATAATCCTTGTAGAAATAAGTATGTCTACAATTTTTCTTGGATTACTTATTTTCATTTCATTGTTGCTATTGTTTATAAAATATGAATTTCTAGGCTTATCTTGCTGCAATGCAGACCCAGTGGTCATGGTTGTTACAGTTGATGTCCTGTCTTGATGTTCATTTAAAATATGCCTTCATTTATCACCAAGTAAGATATTAAAATATATATTTTTTTGTTCATCTTAAATCATATTGAAAAAACTTTAATAGACATCATTCAAAGCATTATTAAAGTTTTATTAAAACTCATAATTTAAATATCTGATAGTTTGAAATAAATGTGTGCACTTCAGGGAAATGCATATATGCATTAAAATTTTATTTAAATGTTGAGACTAGGGCATATTTTTAGAATGAGTTTCATAAATTTATGGTATGACAACTTTTTAAATGTCCGTTAAGTTGACCAAATACAAAATGATTTACTTTTTATGTGATGAGATTATTAATTTTCCTATTCTTTGATGAAAACTAAGTCTAGCACTTTAATAAAATGTGTTATGAACAGTCATCTAAAGCTCTTTCTATTTTACAATCAGCATTGAATTTGCGTACTTTTAAGCTTGCTATGCATGTTAGTTTCTGCTCAAGTTATTTGACGTTATATTCTTATTATCTCTATAAAAAAGGAAAAGCATAAAATTTTTTGTGATGGAGTACAAAAATGACTTACACACACATTTCGTGAGCTCCGAATAGGATTTGTTCAAAAATGTATTCCAAATGTACATTTTTCCTTTGTGTAAAACTGTCACAAAATAGATGAATGAGACAAGTAAAAGTTAATATAAGCTTATGTTACAAAATGAACTTCGGAATTTTTTTTTTAAGTATAATAAATAATTAATATTTGAGACAGTTCATCTTTATCAGGTTTACTGTGTTAGAAAATCCCAACAAAAATAAATGTTTATTTTTAATCCAAATAACTTTTGTGTTTGTTAGAAAAAAATTTTAAAATCTGTTTCTAAACCTGTATCAAGCAAGTTAATAAAACCTTTTCTTTTCTCGACAGTTCTTTGATGATGCTAAAGAGTGCCAACAGTGGTTGAAACAGATAGAAAACCGTTTATCCACGACTTATAGCCGTCAAAACTTTTCAATTGATGAAGGAGAGAGACTCATGAAGGAAATGCAAGATCTCAGAGATGAGCTCAGTCACTACAGCAATGTTGTCTCATCACTCATTGAACGCAGTAAAGATATTGCCCCTCTAAAACAGAGACGTCAACCGCTACCCAGACCTCTTAGGATCACAGCAGTCTGCTCTTTTAAACAACAATCTGTAAGTCGTTTCCAATAGTAGCTCATATTTAATGGAAGGTAGTAAAATGAGATTTTTTTTTCTCCTTTAAACCTAAAATAGAGTTGTTAAATAAATAAATTAAGATAGTTTTCTCCCAGTCATATGTTATTTATGATATAATATGATTTTATTTTAATATAACTGAATTACGAAGACTAAAGTAGGTAGTATATAAGTAATATAGACAGGTGATTTCGCTTTGGAAAAAATATCCTAAAACCTTACAGTTAAATGACTTCAAAAACAGTGTTTAAATAGTTTTAAATTAAAATAAACACTTTTCCCCTATAGGAATTTGGATTTTTTTTTCAATTCGGGAGGGATTTCAAAACGCGTTAAGTATTAGAATCATTTTAACTTTTTTTGTACCTACCAAGTTAGACTGTAATATTTTTATTTTAATGTATACACTTAAAAAGCCCCACCCATCTTTTAATTAAATCTTTTCTTCCGATTTATAGTTTAGAAATACTGGTAAAACTGTTTTAACACCTGCTTTATTTAGGATTTTTGTTTATTCAAATAAGTGATAGAAAAATTGTATGTAAACCAAAATATGTCTTTTTTTAAAAACTTATGGCGTAATAAAAATTTTATGATGATTCTTTTTTTATTTAGATGACTGTTAGCAAAGATGAACAGTGCTGGCTCCATGATAATTCCAATAGAACAAAATGGAAGGTTTGTGTGTTATTTTCATATTGAGAAGCTCTAAGTTGACAATGGGTGACATTTTTATTATTTCTCTTCTCTAACATGTATTAAAACTAAAATTGTATTGTAGATCATTAACTCTCTTGGAATGGAAGGCATGGTACCTAGTGTATGTTTTGTTATCCCACCTCCTAATCCAGAAGCTTTGGAACTGGCTGAAAGGTAAATCTTATTTTTGAACTCATTTATTATATTCATACATGTTTACACTCATATTAGTTTATTCCTTTATTAAACTAAAATTTTTATTTAAGTTTATTTGAATTTATTAAAGTTTTCTATTAACATTTATTAAAATGAACGCAACAGATAATGAGATTTTTTTTATTTGCAACATAAAATTACTTTCTAACTTTAATTGTTAAAGTACTTGATATAATGTTTTTAATTTTACTTAATAATATAATAATAAGTTATGGTATGTAAGCATTTGTACTAAAACGTATAGTTTAAACACTGGTACGTATAATTTTTTGTGTAGTTTAAAACAATTTTTTGTATTGCATTCATTTGTAATGCCACATGTCTGTGTAATTTTTAAACAAATTCTCTTGTAATATTCTTAACTATGCAGCTAATTATATATTTTTTAAAGTTAATTTTATTTTATATCATGACATTTATCATCATTAAACATTGTTCTATATTTTGCTTCATATGATAATATTAATTGCCTAATCATGTGTGTGTATAATTGAAGAAAATAAAACAATAAAAGTTCATTTCAGTTACTTTTTTTTCTTTGCAGTTTAAAAAAACAATTTGAAGCAATTGTTAATCTTTGGACTTCAAAGCAGCGTAAACTAAGACAAAATATGATATTTGCTACCATTAAAATTATAAAATCTTGGGATATAACAAAGGTATATTTTGAAAATCTTTATTTAAAAAAAGTGTTGTTTTTTTTGGTTGATCTAGAAATTCATGTATTTCCATTTATTTTCACGATAGTTCCGTAGCATTGAACCTTTGCAACGAGAGAGCATCATCAAAGCCTTGAATGAAGACACTCAAAAACTGTTAAATGAAGGATCAAGTGATGACCCTGCCCTCAAGAGACTTCAGGAAGAAATAGCCTACTGTAACAAATTATTTGCAGACTTACAACGCATGCTGGACCAAGATGAAGGTAAATACACATTCAAAAGTCTTCCATTATTCTAATTTTTTCTTATTTGGGTCAAACTTGATTCTCAATAAAGTCAAATGATATTTGCTCAGCAAAAAAAAAAAAATAATTATGGAGTTGAATAACCACTAAAGGATTTCAATTGAAGGAAATATTTGGGGACGGTTGCACAATGTGTTCCATCTACTAACATGTATGGGCTTTGGACAAATTCTGGTTCTTTTCGTCATCACATTATGTTTGTTACCTTTTTTCAATGTTTCTTTTGTTATATTTTTTTATTGATGCCTTGCCTATTATATTTGAACACTCAAAATCCTAAATTCTATTTTCTGAGTAACTACTTTTGTTAATTTTAAGATTTCACTAAATTCTTTGAGGCCTTCCGGTTGGAGGCAGGCAATCTTTGGATCTTGGTGAGGTCGCTGCTCTTTGCGCGCGGCGCCCAACTTACATCAACCAAGGCTTCCCCTGGAGTTGCTTCTGCCTCCCTTGCCCTTTTTTCTGGCGTGTTTCCATGGATCGCCACCAAGCCTACCTTTTTGAACCCTCTTTTTCTTTTGCCGAGAGGTCAACGTGCGCGCACTTAGAGTCTACAATATTCTCCGGATGCCCCCTAACGGGGGCGGGACTGGGTTAAGCTTTGATCTACTTACTTACATCATATTTATTTTGTATTCTCTGTACAAAAACTAACTGTATGGAGAATAGTAATGTAGTGTAAACATTGACTTGTGAGTTAAAAATGATTTTACTCATATGCGTAATGAATGCTTTCTCAACATAGGCAGCTAGAATAAAACAAATAATAACAATAGCAGATGTTAAATTTCATTTTTTTGCAATATTAATTATGGTTAAAGATACTAATTAAGGCATTATTTTATTATGTGGTCACACATGAATTAACCCCATTTTATTACAATTTTAAGATACAAATTAATGTTTGAAAGATGCTGGGTTACTTTTATTGAAGCTAACAATATTTTTTTTAATGTCATACTTGAAATTAAAATAAATCTGATTCAATGAGGCATTATTCAGATAGTAAATGTTAGAATTACAGCATTTCTTATTTGGCTAGAGTAGAAAGAGTCTGGTTTGTATATTTTTAGAAGCTCTTGAAATGAATCTTGAAAAATTTATCAAAGTAGCAGTACACACTTTGCTGGATAATAATTCAAATGGCATTCAAGTATCATTGACTCTTCAGTCAATATTTTTGCTGTCTATATTCATATAGCTCAAAAATTTATTTATTTCTATTAATATGAACATTATTGAATAGTCTCTTATATTCCAGAATATTAAAAGCGCTCTCCACTGTATCTGAAATCCGTGTTTAATATTTGATTATATTAATCAGCTACATTATAAGCAAATATTTGAGTAAAATAATATGAATGAATTAATATATGAATAAATGATTAATAATATACATTCAAAAATATTAAATGTTTATTTTAATTCAATTTTCAATGTACGTAATTAAAGTTTTTAATAAGTTTTGTGCATGGTTTGTTAAATATGTTTAAACCTAATTACAATACTTTTCGTTATTAGTTGATAAGCAAAACAAAAGTCAAGCTCGCAAATTTAATGACTTATGTGCTTCTGTACAAAGTACTTTGACTGATAAAGAAAGAATACTGAAACAGAAAACTCAAGCACCCATTCCTCGTAGCAAAGAAATCGTCAATCGTCTCGTGCAAGAACAACAGGTTAGATATATCTAAATTCTTTTACCATTTATAATAATTATCTAATTTTAAGTGTCTTTATATACAGTGCCAGGTCATGATGAATAATTTTTCACTTACTTCAAATTCTTTGTAATTATCATAGCAAGACTTTAGCAAAATGAATAATTGGACATTTATTGCTAGTTTTAGATTAAACTAGCCTACCTATAGGTTAGTAAATGTTTATTAATTCTACTTGTCTAGGATTTTGAATCAGATTTACATGCCTTTGAACCTCGAGTGGATGAAGTTCGTGAAGCGTTCCGTGAGTTATCAGTGAAAACAGCAGCTTTGCAGTCACGTCATGACTCGGTGATAGAATCGTGGAATAATTTATGGTCTATTTCCAGCTTGTATGTAGAACGGTGAGTGCAGCCTCATTTTCCTTCGTAAATATTTACATTATATGAAGTATTGTATTTTTTTTCTTATGTTTAAACCTTCTTTGGGTGGGATGATATAGAATAGTTTGGTCAATTAATAAACACTACACAATCATCTATATAACTTAAAGGGCGTATGTCAACATAACTAAAACTATTCAATTTTATTTATTTGTTTGTTGCCATCCCTTGCGGTGTGACTTTATGTTATTTGATTTAGCAAAACATATTTTTAGAACAAATTACATTTTTAGAAGTCAACTCATCAAAACAAAATAGAGCTGTATTTGCATCATTCGGCACGAGAAATTATATTATCGCAACCAAGTCATGACAGGCAAAATTTACCAAAATCTAGCAATATTCCTGATGAATTGGCATTTTAGTATCTAACTTAATTTTTCTTATTCCATTACGTTCCATTGGTTTTATGTTATTTAGGTTTATAGAAGCGCATCTCAAGAGCATAACTATAAATAAACACATGAAACCACATTACTTTAAAAATAATTTGGTAACGTTGCTTTCAATTATTTAAGAATGTGCAATATGTTGGTGATCACACACTTATGCGGAATGAAAGGTAGCAGAGATAAATATGGCATGGTCACTTGTGTTGTCTTCACTTTAATAGTGCAGGAATGTGACTTACTCAATGAATTGAGGCATTATTGATTCAGTTAAAAATTTAGATTGTCTTTCAAAATTTGAGTTTATTAAAAAACAAACATAATTAGTAAGTGTAAATGGAAGGACAGATGAGTAGTGAAGTGAAACTTATTAAAAGTTATACATTACATAATTAAACAGTGCCATCCAGTGGCTAAAATAATAAACAAATCATTGAATTGGAAGATGAGCAGTGAAATATCTATTTCATAACACAATAACTCGTAAAAAAAGAAAAAAAGAATCATCTGCAGTTAAATAATGCTAAACCTATAGAAAATTCTTTTTTTGCTCATCTATTCTGAACAGTCTAATTAAAACTTTTGAGCATTTTAAAGGTTTGAAATTGCCCTCGTCCAAATTTTAGAACAAAAGCATAAAGGAGAAGAACTCTAGATTTATTTAAATATTTTTTATTGTAGATTTAATTTGTCATTATATATAGGGAAATGTTTTTGTTGCAGAATGAAAGCTGTTGAATTGACTTTATCTCATTATGATGATGCTTCTCAAGCGACTTCTCATGCAGAGTTGCAATTAATTTCACTTGATGAGGTGCCCAATGATACTGAAAGTGCTGCCAGAGTTGAAGAAAATTTAAGAGTAATTTGATTCTCTTTTATTAATTGGAGTGTGTGCGTTTCTTTTTCTGTATGTCTGTTAGAATCCTAAAAGAGCCTCAGTGCTTTCAGATGTTTAGATTATCTAATTTCAATTAGTACTTTTGTCTACTACTAGTGTCTAATTTCAATTCTATTACAAGTGATGGGCATAGCGATAACAATAAGTTTAAATAGACAAAGCAGCTTATGATCCTATGTTCAGTTCACTTAAATTTTAATTTCATATAAGTGCTCACTTTTTAGGATTTTTGTTTTTTAGAACACTGAAATATTTGAAGTGTTAAAATTTTTATGAAATTAAAAAGTTATTTTATTAGAACTTAAGCCAAAAAAGTTATCTTTTTTTCTTGTTCCATGATTTTCTAGTCGTAGAAATGTGGGCCTTTGGCAAATGCCCTGTTTACCCCTCCCTCCTTATTATGACAGCTCTGCTTATGATTGTAGTTTTAAAAAAAAATTATTAAAGAGACAGCAAGCCTGTGCAACTTAAGCTTTCTAATACTGTTCTTGTATTTTTGCAAATAAGCAAATTTGTAAGAATGTAGCAATAAAAATAGATTTTTTTCCTAACTAACAACTATTGGAAAACTTTGTTAGCAATGTTTAAAAAAAAAAAGCAAAACGGAATGCAATTTTTATTGTGCGTTTATTTATTTTTCTGTGTATTGTGTTTTCAGACATTGAAAATCGAGATGCAACTGAAGCAAGTGTTGTTTGAGCAAGTTTCTCAAAGTGTTGTAAATGTTCGTCATTTTGTTGAATTAAGTCGACCCAATCAATCTGTACACACAGATGTAACTAAATTAGAAGAAGATGTGAAGAAGGTGAGGCGTCGTTGGGATCTTGCTGGCACTCAAGTCAATGATAGGTATTCTATTCTTTCATTTCATTCTCTTATATAACAAAATGCATTATTTTAATTGAATTATTTGCTTGTTAGGCTTAAAGCCTTAGAAACGTCTATGGAATTACTGCAGAGTTATAAAGGAAAGTATAATGAGCAGAAAGCATTTGTTAGTCAGATGAGTACTAAAGTGGAATCCATGAAAGCAGTTAGCCGGATGGATTCTCGTGAGATGCATCATGCAATTGAGTCTACAACGGTAAGAGACTTCTTTTCATTTGAAACAGTTTTCAATGACTCTTTTATGTGAGCATAATTGTTTTAATGAAGCGTTAGAAAATTAAAGTTTTCAAGTATTTTTGAGAACCCTTCAACTTAACTCAGGCAAACTCTTCCAACTTCTGCAAAATTATTCCTATGACAGCCCTATCTATTGAAGATAGGTTTATAATAGTATCAATGTATCTAATCAATTCATAAGAAATGCTAATGAGGATTTTATTTCTTCATAAAAAGTGCCATTGAGGATTTTATTTCTTTATAAAGTTATTGTGTTAAATTATTATTATTATTTTTTTGAATAAGGCTTTAAGGAGCAATGAATGTAATGACTATCTAAATAAAATATTGAATGAATTCAAGAGAGTTAAAAATTAAGAATGATATTCTTAAATATTTATTTGTCTTGCCTTGATAACTATTAAATAGTTGCTCATGCTTTTGTGCTTGAAAATAATTGATTCCAAGTTCCCCCTCATTCTCAAATTAAAAATGAAATTCCTTGCATTTGTCTGAAGTGATGATGCAAAAGAGATAATGAGTAGGGAAAAGATTATGTGTAAATTACATTAGCATGATGTTATCTAAATTAATTATTGTAAAAACGTATTTATAATAAATTTTGTTTCCGTATGATCACTTAAAATCTTTTAGCTTCCCGAGGAAATTAATACAATTTCAAATCCAACTTTTACCAAAGTTTTTTTTTCCTTCATAGAATCAAATTTTACACTCACATTATGATTTCAAGTAAGGTGGGTTTGAATTTATCGAATGCAGTATGAATTCTAAAAGTCTTCTGTAAATACACTTAAATGAAAGACAAAGGTTTTTCCTAAGATTATAGTTTTCAAGTAAAGTTGTTTAATCTGTGTTTAGAATTTCTAATTTTACTGTTCAAGAAATGTTATAAATTTTTTTTTTTTGTCTAGAGCACTTACCATACTTTGAGTCAAAGAAAAGCTGCTATAGAAGATGTGAACGTAGATGGAGGTCGATATTTGCGAGAAGCAAAGGTAAGAGTTTCCTTGCTATAACCACTAAAGCCAGTAAAAGTGTCATTTTGCACTAATATCATTATGGAATTAACGAGGAATAATTCTGTTGATAGCTTATAACACGTGTAATAAATGTTAATTCTGAGTAACTTACAAGCACATATATGCTGCAGTAATCAGTTAATAATTAATCACTACATTTTTAACTACTAAATTTTAACCACTAAATAACTTAAAAAACCTGTTTAAAACAATTTGTTTCAGGTAACAATTCAAGACTTCAATAATTCAAGTTAAAAGATACCAAGTTGGAAATACTATAATTTCTTTAAAACACTCAAATGTTTTTAAATTCCAAAGAAGTAATGGTAAAATTTGTTTCTCATTAAAGAGAAAAACAGTTAACTTTTTTTTTCAAATATTTTATGGGTTATCAAATATTGAGTTAGTTTTGATATACAATATTTTTATTAGTTAAGAAAATTTATGAATATTTTTTTTAATTATGAATTCTGTTAAACGTTTTTAAGACAGTCACTGTTGTTTTTGTTCTACTTACAATTTATAAAGAGTTGTTGAGCAAATATTTCTTACAATTTTTGAAAGTTTACAATGCTATTTTAAAAACTATCATTTTGTTTTATTTTAATATGCATTATTATACTCTTTCATAAATATTCATTCCTTTAAATAATAAAAGCTTAGGTCAATGTCTACAATTTTAAATAGCCATTGTTGTTTTTGACTTACACAGAATATTATGTGTAAAACTAACATTAGCTTATGCATGGCTGATTCAGAGTAGTCATTTTTGTTTTTGTGCATTTCTTCCAGACATCATTGATTAAACTATAAGTGTTCTGCCATTGCTCATTTGCTCAGCAGTTCTATAAATTGTGTTCTACTTTTTTGTGTAAATCATGCATGTTAAAACGACACCCCTTCCCCCCGCTTTGTTCTGTCTTATCTCCGGGCATGGGTGCGTGCGTATGATATATATCCTTTATGTAGATGTATGAACTGCTCCTGAAACAGTATCAAGAAAGCATTGAAGATAACCCTGCTGATTCCAATGCCAAGAAAGCTAAGTTAATATCAGAGACTGAAATTATTAGTCAAGAATTAGATGAACTTAATAAGGAGTATACAGATTTGGTCAATTCTGTGTTACAAAGGTTGAATGAATTGAAAAGTTTAGTTTCTAGTCAAGAGGGACAAAAGGTAAACTTTTTTTTTGTAATTAGTCATCCCCCATAATTGTATTAATGTCAACCTTCACTTTTTCAGTTTTTGTATATTTTATCAAATTGTACCTTTTTTCATTATGTAATGCTCACTCTGATTATAATGGAATGCATAAGTTAGGAATAAAAGTATGATTACTAGTATGGTTCTCACTAGTTTTAGGATTTCTAATTTCAACACTCTATATTGATTTTACTACCAGTAGCAGCAGAGAAATGTATTTTATTAATAAAATTAATATTTCGGATAATAATTGAAACTGCTTTGAGATTTCCTTCGAAAGAGACTTATAAACAATTTTCTCTTCTATTTAAGTGTTAGCAATAAAATCATATTCAGATTTTATGCAACATTCAAAAGATTTACCTAAAAAATTATTTTGATGCATTTTATAAATATTAAAATAAAAGAAAAAACCCTTTTCTCAGATAAACAATTCTGCCAATAATAATTTTTATTCTCATTTTCAAGTTTGAACTTTAAGTTTAAAATGAAAAAGTAAGATATTTAGGAATATTTTAGTGTACAGAAGTTACTTTTAAACTAGCGTTGAATAAATTTTGAAATTTATTAGTTATATGTTAATGTATATATGTTATAGTAAATTAATAAATATAGTATTTCTCTTACTTTAACTCTAAGAGTGTTTAGTAGAAATTAAAACTTAAATTTACAATTGCTAATTTAATAGTTCATGGTTGCTTATTATTGTTTATGGGCACCTCTAGTAAAGGGGATATAATTACCAATACAATATTAAAGAAAAGAAATTTTGGAATTTATTTATGACAATTGCCACTTTTTATTTTTAAATTATGCATTTAAAAGAAAACATATATGGAAAATATATATAGAAAACCTTATAGAGTATCTTATGAATAAAACTTCACATTTTGTTTTAAATGAATTTTATTCCTAAATATAAGTTAGAAATTTTAGCAAATGTTCTGCAATTTAGCCTATAGGATAGTATACAAAATGTTTATTAAACATTTGTCATGATATTAGTCTCAAGTAACTTTTTTTTAAATATTGTTTTAGAATACTCAAATGTTATAAATTTATTTTAATTCATAAATTTCAAAATTCTCAACAATTTCCTATCAAACAACTGAATTTTTCAAAGCTTTTACCAATCTTTGAATTATTTTTTTATTTTTTATTTTGTTTACTTTAAGTATTATTTTTCTATCTATATTTTTTTAAGTTGCCTAGTGTCTTTCTCTTGGTTTTTTTCCTTCATTATTATTACGCATGTACTGTTTTCTTATGGGTTTCTGATTTATTTCTGTTTCCCCATTTTTTCCTCTCTCAACAGTTTTCTGTTCCCACCATCATTCAAGCCACACCAATTACTCTGAAGACGTATCGCACTGAACTCATCTTGGAACAAGTTCCTTTCTATCACATATCCAATCACACACAATTTAACACCCCATTTTCAGATTTAAGTAACTCCACACACCAAAGAATCAATCACATACCAAATGGGACTGCATCGATTGACATTAATATGGATGATAGTCATCCACTTACTCACCTGAGTGGCACAACTCTGTCATTCGAAGAGGTCAAGTGCAGTCGTAGATCCAGCATATCCAATTCGTTACTGTCGACCATTTTTGAAGAAAAAACCATCCTCGATCCATTTACTAAAGAAAAAATCAGCTTTAACGAAGCTATTGTTAAAAATATCATTAATGTCAGTACTTTGAAGTATTACTTCCTTAAAACAGAATATACCTTTGAGGAAGCTGTTGCCAAAGCTTTTATCGATAAGTATTTTTTTGACACTATTCATCAGTATTATGGAGTCTGTGATCGAAAGATGGAACTTACAGTTTTAGGTGCTATCCAAAGAAAATTTATAAATACTAACACAGGAAGTTTTCATGATCCAAAGATTCAGTCTGATATTTCGATAGAAAAAGCTGTAGAAATGGGTTTAGTTAAGGGTGATAAAGTTCTGTTTTTAATTACTAATAATATTATATCTTGTACTCGGTACACTATCTCCGAAGCTGTCATTAAAGGTTATTTGGATCCAGATTCTGGATTATTTGTTAGTCCTCATACTGGGAAGATTTTATCAATTCCTGAAGCCTATACTATAGGCCATTTATATACTGCTGCACCCATCATTGAAGACACGTTGTCTTTATCCGAGTGTCTCTCCAAGGATTTAATCACACAAGAGGGCAAAGTTATTGATCCTGATTCTGGTCACTTATATTTGATGGATGAAGCTTTAATTCATGGCATACTGTCTAAGCGACTCAGAGAAATCGTAGACCCTAGTATTGGCAGCATAGTTTGCTTGCCTGAAGCAATAAACGACAAACTTATAAATCCAGCTACAGGTTCCTACGTACATCCGCAAACCAATAAAATATTATCACTCAAAGAAGCTAAAAAATTTAATCTTATCATACCATCTATGACATTGAAACACGCTTTTGAATGTGGAATTATTGATAAAGATGGAAACGTTACAAATATTTTGAATTCTTCTAAAATATCCTTAATTAGGGCTGCTGTGATTGGAATTATCAGTTTTGACATTAAATGTATTGTTTGCCCCAATGAAGATAAAGTTTTAACATTAGCAGAAGCTTTAGTTTCAGGATTAATAACTCCTGATTGCAAATTCATTGATGAAAAGTCAAACGAAATCTTAAACATTTCGCAAGCCGCGAATAGAGGATACCTTGCATCCGTCGATCGAAGAATGGTTTTTGATATTGAAGGTTTTAGAGATACTAAAACGAGTGAGTACATTAGTTTCAATGATGCTGTTTCCAGAAAGATAATAGATAATGGCAAAATCTTTGATATGAATACTTCTAACATTCTGACTATGGCTGAGGGTATTAACCATAAGCTAGTCATACCTGAAGTGTATGAAATGTTAATTAAACCGATTGGCATTTATGACAACTCTGGTGAAGAACTTAATGTTCTAGATTGTGTTGGGAGAGGGTTGTTGGATCCCCTTACTGGCTACTTATTGGATCCATTTTCTAAGCGACCTCTCAGGCTAATGGAAGCAGTTGAACAGAATATTATAACTGAGGATGGAGCTGTGATGCTGAAATCTTTACTTAATATTACCGTCACTTTAACATCAATTACTAAAACTACAACTAAGTATGTGACGGTAGCAACTCACAGCATTGGTGCGGATTTAAGGATGACTTTCGATGAAGCTTATCAGCGAGGACTTATTGATGAAAGGGGTCATACATTTGAGGACCCTGTGACAGGCAGTGTCATGAAAATAGAAGAAGCTATTAGTAAAGGCTTTCTTAGCATATTACCCACATCATCCATACCACCACAAGGTCACATTCAACAGTCCGAAGTAACTGTATTTAGAAATAATGCACAATTCACGTCCCTGAATGTAGGAAATAATTCAAATTTGGAGATAAGTTTGAACTCTAAATTATCAGAGAGTGATCTCGAGAATAACACTTCTAAAAATCACTCATTTTTTGAGGACAATACTATGCATGAGAAATCTAGTAATCTGTCTGCATATGACCCTAAGGGATTGTTTCAAACACCAAATGATTTAGAAAACTGCCACGTGTATACAAAATCTGTCACTGAGCATCTAAATTCTTCAAAAATGGAAATTTCGAACACTTTGCCAAATTGTAAATACAAATTAAAACAACTGGTGGATGGGGGAGTATTTGACCTTGACACTGGATATTTGAATTTTGAGAAAAAGTTGAAATTTACTTTAGAAGAATCTGTTATTCAAGGTCTTATTGGTCCAGATTCTGCTCTTGTTAATGATTATTCCACAAATAAAATGATAAATCTTGCTGATGCTTTCGATAAGAAAGTTATAACAACTATTGGATCATACGTTATCAACAATAAAATTATAAGTATGAGAGAAGCGGTGGAAAAAAATTTAATTATTTTTGTTGATAGTAATGATAATTGCAATGAACATGATTTATCTGAAAAGAGTATTCTTTTTAATAAGATATACTCTAATGCTCGAATGGCAACAGCAGATGTTGGAATAAATGTTGGTGAGGAAATACAAAAAAGGGAATTCTCAAATTTAAGTAATAAGATTAATTTTTCTTCAGCAATGGAATGCGTTGATCAAAATTTTAGTGCACATTCTGATTGTCTGAAGCAGAAAAAAACAGAGGTTGAAAAAACGATAATTCCTGTTGGTACTTCAGAATTCATTACCAATTTTGATTTGAAAAATGTTTCTGAATTTTCTTATGAAAGTGGTGTAACAGCTCATGAATTATTAGGACATACATTAGAAACTCCAGTGATAATTAATTCAGTTGAAGTAGTGACTGAAGAGCCTATGGACCTTGATTCTGAACAAATAAAATCTGAAATTCAGTCTAAAGATATAGAACATTCTAAAGATGAAAAAATAGCAGATAAAGATGAGTGTACTGATGAAAGCAATTCCAAAAAATCTTTAAAAGCTCAGTACTCAGTTCCCAGGTTTGAAGTGACAATTGGTAGAGCTTTGTTAGATGACCCTGCCAAAGCTGTAGTGCTCAAGAAGGTTAAGAAGAAGAAAGTGTCCCCTAAAGATGCTGCTGATAAAGGTGTTACTGATAAAGAAACTGCTGACAAATTAAGAGTCGTTGAAAGCTTATTTGGAGCTGATGGAAAATCTCTTTCTCTTGAAGAAGCTGTCAAGCTAAGTTACATTAATGGAAATGATGGCACAATCAAAGATCCGAGAAACAATGAAACTCTGACTATAAATCAAGCCATTGACAGCGGAATTTTAGATCCAGAAACTGGCCAGTTCAACCTTCCTGTTGGTCGTTCTCTAAGTATACCTGAAGCTGTCAATCAGGGTCTAGTTGAACCTACACAACAGAAGATTGTTCATCCAGAACATGGGGAACATTTGTCTATACAAGAAGCTATTGTTTGTGAAATTATAAATCCCATGTCCGAATTGAAGGAACCATCAACAGGAAAGAATGTAACATTAGAAAATGCAATTGAAATCGGAATCGTTGATGGCTCAAATGGTGAAGTGCAAACATTTGATGGGAAATTGAGTATGTTGGATGCGGTGAAGAGAGAAATTTTTGAACTTTCAAATCCAGTTCAAATCAACTTGCCTCCCTTGGCCGCTTCGTTTCCTGTTGCTCTTCGACAAGGATTTATTGACCTTAGAGCCAAAACTTATCAACACCCAATAAGTGGGCAAATTGTTTCTATTCTTGAAGCTATTAATCTTGGTTTAATTATGACTTCTGGTAGTAAAGCTGATGATGATCATGCCATTTATCTTTTTTCTGCTCTTGAAAATAATCTTATTGATCCAGATCATTTTACTTTAGTGCACCCAATAACTGGCAAAGCAATTTCAATTGAAGAAGCAGTAAATTCTGGGTTGTTATTTATATCTTCAGAACTACCAAAACATTCTTTATTCATTCCAAAGTCTGGTGAAATTTATGTCTTGAATGATCTTGTGAGTAATAAGAATTTTAATGTGGAAATATATACTATATTCAATGGAAATATTGAAATCCCTTTGTCCACTGCCTTCTCTCAAAATCTGCTGCAGCTGGATGGAGTTGTTGAAATACTTGACGAACGTAGAATGTCTGTTTTGCTCGAATCAATTAAAGATAGCTTTAGTTTGAGCCCATTAAATTATGCAAATGCTGTTTCTTCTGGTTTTTATGATAATAGGCATAATGTATTTCTTGACATCAGTTCTAAAACTGGTATTAGTTTTATTGAAGCCATTAAACAATATGATGCATTTAAACAGTGCATGTTTAAAAACCCAAACACTATGTCATTTGTTTCACTTGAAGATGCAATTTTCCTGTCATTAATAGATAAAATAACTGGAAAATGGTTCGATACAGTTCAACAAATGACGTTTTCTTGTTTTGAAGGTTCTGAAAAGGGAGTTATTATTTACATTCCAAATTTAGAAAATAAATGTTTGGAAGATATAAAACCATTGACAATGCAAGATATCATTGTGAATAAAATGTTAAATTTAGAGGATTTGAAACTCAAGTTACCTGGTGTCAATCAATTGATTTCATTAAATCTGGCTGTAGAAAGAGGAATTGTAAAACCCACCTCAATACTTGTCTACAATCCAAAATTAAATAAATTAATGCCATTAAATGAAGCTCAGGAAAAGGGTTTGACTGACTGTGAAAACGATATTTTTATTCATCCAGTCACTAGCCAAGAGGTAAGCTGGAAAGATGCATTTAAAAGAGGTTTTATTGTACCATTACGAAAACCGATATCTCTAGAAGCTGCTATAAGACATGGATTCATCGTTCTCGATAGTGGTTTAATAACTGATCCCATCACAAAACTGGATGATAACATTGAAATGGCTGTTAGAAAAGGGATTATAGATGGTAATATTTCCCTAATTTGCGATACAAAAATAGATAAATTTGTAAGTTTGGAAGACGCTCTTCTCAAGCGACTTGTTTCCAAATCCGGAAAAGTAAGAAATACTTTAGAAAATAATTGGCTAAATTTCACTGATGCACTTAATCAAGGACTAATTAGAACTAAACATCTTCAGATTTCTTTAATAGAAGCCATTGAACATGATTTATATAATCCATGTACTGGAAGAATTCTTAATCCTATGTCTGGCTGTGATATGACCTTGAAAGAAGCTCTTGCTTTGGAATACATAGAAAGTAACACTATCAAAATAAAAGATCCTAAAACTCGGATTTATATTAGTTTAAAAGATGCCATTTCTCAAGGAATATTAAATGATACGTTGGGGACATACAGTCACATAATTTCAATTAATTTGCTGCAAGCTTTAGATAGTGGGTTTATAATCAATTGCAATTTTCCTCTAAGTTTACCTGAAACTTTAGAGCATGACATGTATGATGTAGACTCTGGCCAGTTTCGTCTCCCAAATGGAGATACCCTTTGTCTACAGGAAATGATAGACAAAGATTTAGTCAACGCCAACGTAAATACTATTTTTGAAACACATTCCAACACCATCGTTCCTCTTTGCGATGCTCATAGAAATGTGGATGCAGTGAAAAACTGTGTTATTACTGATCACGCTCAACTAAACTTTCTCGATGCTTATGACATTGGTTTGATTCTACCATTTAAAAGAAAACTCACACTTTCAGAGGCTGTTACTAAAATTTTTTATGACTCCGAATCTTGTATTTTCTTTGATCCTTTTTCTCAAACAGAACGCTCACTTAAAGAGTCCTTTGAAAGGAACATCATTGACGTTTCAACCACAATATTTTGTGACAAGTTCAATCAGAGAGCCTATTCTTTCCAAGCAGCTGTAAAACAAAACTATATTGACCCTATTCATGGTAGAGTTATTACAGACTCTTCACATTCCATGTCTTTCCAAGAAGCTTTTAATAAAAAAATTCTAGTTGAGATAAATTATTTATCTCTAACAGAGGCTATCACAACTAACATTTATCAGAAAAATGTGAATCGATTTATTAATCCCTTTGATGGGAAACAAATGACTTTGGCTGAGGCAATTGAACTAAAATTTATTGATCATTGTTCAACTGTAGTAAAAGGCATAAATAGCCCTCAAATGGATCTAGACGAAGCGATTGAAAGAAATATTGTTGATGCCCAAAACAGTTTTGTCAATCTTCCCAATAAGTTGTGTATTACCTTAGATGAAGCTTTAGAGTTGGGTTATTTAAATGACAGAAACCCATGTCTGACTTTGCAACATGCTATTAGTAATGGCTTATATGATAATAAAACTGGAAAATTTTCAATTAATTCAAAGGTTAAAACTTTACGTGACTGCTTGAAATTGCATATAATTGAGGGAACACTTCCTTGCTATTGGGAAGAAATTTCTAATAAAGTTCTTTCTTTAGATGAAACAATAGTAAAAGGTTTGATAAATGGAATAACAGGAAGATTTTTTGATCCCATAACTTCCATCGGAATGCCCTTAGATGAAGCATTGCTTAATGGATACTTAATTAATACTGAAAAACCTCTAACGTTATATGATGCTTTAAAATTTAATATGATAACTGAACAAGGGAAGTTCGTTAGTCCAAAAAATGGAATAACTATGTCCTTAAGAAATTCATGTAAAAGTGAATTAATTTCTCCTAAATTATCTTTAGTAAAAACAAATAAAGATGAACTTCTTTCACTTGATAAAGCCATTGATCTTCAAATTATAGATGATATAGCTGGTACATACACTTTCAAAAACGAAGGAATCGTAATTACTTTGAATGATGCTTTCAAACAGAATTTAATTGTTCCATTCACAAAACCTCTTGATTTCGTAGATGCTCTGAAGATGGATCTTTTCGATATAGAATCTGGAACATTCATTGATCCATTATGTAATTCTAATTTAAATATACAGGAAGCATTGGATTCTCATTTGATAAAAGACGACGTTGCTGTTTATGACAGTTCTTCCAACACTTTGAAATCTCTGCAGTTGGCTATATCTGATTGCACAATAGATCTTAATTCTGGAAAGCTTAGAAATTCTCAAGGTATCTATTGCATAAATCTACATCAAGCTATTGAGGAGAGGCTGCTTGTGATAATGGAGCCAGGTTTCATATCCAAAAGTCGCTTAAGAAGTTCTCCATTATCTACAAATTTTGCTTGCACTTTGCAAGAGACATTGAATAAAGATTTTATTGATAGCAAAAATACCTACATCAAAGACCCAGAAAATATTGAATGGCTATCCATCGATCAAGCTGTCCATAAAGGCGTTCTCAATTTACGCCAAAAAGTGATATTTTGTCATATCTCAAAACAGACTGATTTACTTGTTGTAAAGTATGACAATCGTCAGATGTTTTGTGAAAAACCATTTTCATTTAAAGAAGCCTTACAACTCAACCACTTGAACCTCTTTAGTGGAATGTATAAAAATCCCAGCTCGAATCAGATATTCACTCTAAAAGAGTCTATAGAATTAGGCTATATAGATTCCAGCTCTGCTATAGTTAAAGATACAAAAAACAAGGCATTTTTGTCCTTGCAGTCTGCATTTGAAAATAATACATTGGATGCAAATAAGGGTATGGTGATTGATTCAAATACAAATCAAGTTCTTACCTTGAAGGGGGCTTTGGATCAAGGTATGATAAGAGCCTGTCCATTCACATTCTCTCTATTAGAGGCTCTGCAGTATGGTTTGTTTGATGAGAAATCTGGCCTAATCTCTAATCCTTTTAGCGATAAACCAGAAACATTAATGAGTGCTATATCATCTGGCTTAATCGACCCATCGTCCACGCTCATTAAAGAACCTGCATCGTGTCATTTCTATGATATCAGCAGTGCTATCTCGAAAGGAATTATAAGCCCCAACAATGGAAGCCTTCTAGATTTAGGTGGTTCAACATCACTTATGGATGCATATCGTCAGGGGCTGCTGGTACCCTCAGAAAAACGGGTAAGGTGCCCTTACTCTAAAGATAGGGTGTTTTTAAATGCTTGGCTTGCATATGCTACATGCCTGGTGCATGTGTCCTGAAGTAACTGTTTGTTATCATACAACTGCATTATCATGTACATCCAATAAAATGAAATGATTATTTGTTCATTTGCCGATAAACAATACAAGAATTTTTTTTTGTTATGTTTCATTGTGTTTGCATGCTTATTATTTTTGTTAATGCTAAAGCTTGGTTAAAGCTTTGCTGATATAACATTGCCATTTGTACAACTACTAACAAGGGTGCTTGTGAATTTGATACATAACTTGCTATGTTGTATGCTGAATATATAATTATTAAAACTGAATATATTCTCTAACCCATATATTTTTTCTCATTTTGTTTCTCAATAATTTTATGACAGGTTGCTATTGAAGAGAAGTTTAGATTGTATGTAGATAATTCATCAAAACTGTTATCTTGGTTACAAGAAAAGGAACTGGAGATGGCTGATTTAGGGCTTGTTCGAGAGGATGCAGATGATTTGTACCGACAAATTAATACTGCTAAGGTTTTTAAAATATTTTTTCTTTCATTTCATTTTACTCATTTATTGGATTTTTTTATTGATTCTTTAACATTTTTTTTCTCTCCTCTTCAAAAGACCATTCGTCAAGAACTTGAAGACAATCAGAGGACAGTAATGTCCTGCATTGATCAAGCACAACAGTTGATAGAGCAAGGTCAAGATGTTTTGAGCAAAGATGAAATACATACTGTTCAAAAGAACTCTGAAGTCTTGAAGAAACGTTATTATAGAGCAAGCGATGAGAGTGAAAAACTCCTTAGGCGTTTGAACACTGCACTAGAAGAATTGCGTAAATTTTCTGTAAGCAAACAATTAGTCAATAAGTAATATTTTTGTAAGCAAACAACTAGTCAATAGGTAATAATTTTGTAAGCAAAGAACTAGTTATAATTATTCAAAAAAAAAATTTAATGTCTTTCGTGCATGGTCTGGGACAAATGCTCTGTTAACCCCACCTTTACGACAATTCTTTTTACCTAATTGAATTCATAAACACAGATAATACTGTGAGGATTAGTTGGCAGACTTCATAAAAGAAATACTTTTTTTTTTAATTATAAATTAGATATATAACTAGCACCACCATATGAATCTGAAAAATTTCTTTGTGCTACAAAACATACAAGTTTTCTTTTTGTTTAAATTATGTGTATATTTCAGTGCTAACTGTGACAATTGTGAGAAGAATACTGACACCAAATCTGCAATTATTTATTGATTTGAATTTCCACAAAAAATTTTAATTCCAGTACAAATATTCACTCCTTTATCATTGTTTTCATAATGTGTATTGGTTCATTAATTAAAAGGATAAAGAGATAGTATGACATAACCTTGGAGTTAAATTATTTTCCATATTTACTGTTTTAAAAATAAATTTATTCTTTATGTGTAATTCGTTTTAAAATGCTTACTGCAAAGTTTTTATAACTTAAACAATGTATATATATATATGAATAAAAATACTGTCTTCTTTATGTAAGTCACAATTACATTACTTTTAAAACTCATTATTTTGTAGAACTAATTTAATAATATCTATTTAACTAACTTACAACTTCATTTGTTACTTATTTGAAATATAAAACTGCATATTATTCAACTTTTATTCATTTATGAGAATGTCTATTCTCAATTTTAGAATGAGCTTATAAATTTTATGGAATGGCTTAAAGAATCTCACCTGAAACAGTCTGAAAAAGAGAAGAACTTAGTTGACCTAGAGCATTTGAAAGAAAATGCAGATTCTTATAAGGTACAGTTGTTTCTTTTCTTTAAAATTTCTTCGTTTTATGGAGAAAAAAACATATAATTTTTGTTACCCTTACATATTTTCAGGCATTTTCAAGTGATGTTATTGCTCATCAAGCTGATCTGCGATTTATTACAATAGCTGCTCAAAAATTTGTAGATGAATCAAAGGTAATTCACTTGAATTTTATCTTAATGAAAATGTGCATAGTTAGGAAACTTAAATGCAATGTTATTTGCACTGTTTAGTAAAACTGAAAATTAATTATGTAATATTTTGATCTCTTCTGAAATTTAATTTTTTATATAAAAATATGTTTTGTTGTTCTTAACTCAATGCTTCTACCTAAGCAGATCGGTAACATTAGCGAAAAACGTAATGAAATGAGTCGCTTTAACAGCATTAAAATTTTTAGACATTTCTTCTGTTATTCCCATCGTTTTGTTAAGTTTCAATATTTTTATATACCTGTGTTATTTCCTGTCAAGCAAAATTAATCCTTTTCAAATTTATGAATAACTATTGAAATATCTAATGGAATTTTGTTAGATTTCTGTAAGTAAAAAAAAAAGCTATAAATGAGAATTGCTTTTGGTGAGTTAATTATTTTAATATCAATAAAGTTCTCATTTTTAAAGTTTATGTCAGACTTTTAAGAATTGTTTTGTTGATTATAAAATAAATATGTGCTTGTCGGAAGCCCCCGTATTTCTGGTGACTTCTAATATGTTCTATGAAGAGTGCATCTTTCAACTATAAATTTAGCTATATGACAATTCTATACTTGTTAAATAGTTTTTATGCATTCTCATAAAATTGCATGCAATCATTAAAAAGATTAAATCATTGGAAGTCTTATGAAGATCTCCTATATGTTCACAAAATTTCACTTATTTTCAATATTCCAGATGGTTTAATTCTTTTAAGAGAGAGTTTTCTAATCCAACTTCTTCTGTATCATTATGCTCAACTAAATAAAAAGACGCAATTATTTTTCTTGTAGGATTACTTGAAAGTTTTGAATAATTTTCGAACAAATCTACCTCAAAGACTGGCTCATTTGGAACCTGGTGAAAGTGAAGTGAAAATTAAAGTTCAAGAGGTTTCTACAGCCTATCAAAATTTGCTCAACAGAATTGATCGACTGGGCGATAAATTCGGCATCCTCTATAACAAGCAACGAAATTTTGAAGAGTGCATGGAAAAGGCCACTGCTTGGCTGAACAGTGTTACAAAAACAACAAAAAAAGTAATCGACGAACCCGTTGCTGCAGATCCTAGAGCTATTCAAGATCAATTGGATCGAGTCAAAGCCTTAAATATGGAACTGATTCAACAAGCCCGTTTAATTGATGCTGCAAAGCAAGCAGGGAATTCTCTTCTGGATGCTTTTGATGAAGCTGACATCAGTCCTTCTGAGAAGAGGAATATTGAAAATAAAATTAAAAGAATGGAAGATGAATATAATAATATTTGTAATGCCGTAAATGGAAGAAGTAATGAGTTACAAATGGCACTCTTACATTCTCAAGATATTCAAGATGGATTAGACAGATTATTGAAATGGTTGGATGATGCAGAATCAAACTTACGCAATCAAAACAGACCGGTCAGCTTAATAAAGGAAAAACTAGAAGAACAAGTAATTATTATTTTAATTTTTAGTGTATCTACACTTTATGTGTCTCTGGTAACGTATTGATCTTGTACACTTATCCTTCTCTGTCCATTATTTAGCTTTTATAGTATTTATTTTTAATTGAAAAAAACCATTTTAGACTTCAATCTTTTTAAAAGCTATTCTCGGATTGCCTTGCTCTTTAGTTAATCATTATGCTTCTGATTAGAATACTAGTTTAAATTACAGAAACTCCAACAATTTCACCCTTTTATTAAAACTGTGGAAATTATAACCCATGCTATGGAAAAATCTAATTTTTGAACTCTTTTATGGGTTTTTACTGTAATTTATAATAGAAATGCTGTATTTCCAAATATAACCATTTTTTAATTTATAACTTTCCAGCAGCGGGTTTTCTAAATATTATTTTTTTATGTTTTATCTGTACCTGCACAGAACTTATCTATCAGTTTTTTATTTTATTTACATACGATGTTCATTACTGCATCCTTTTTTTTTACCATTAACTGTTTTTCTCATTATGCACTTGTTTGTTTTTTTTATATATACATATAATTTTTAATTTTATCACCTATGGTACTTAAACATATATTTTTTAAAAAATTATTTCATTTTATTAATGAAAGGATTAATGAAATTTGAAATTTATCAACACTGGAAGAGTGAAAACTATTAAAAATTTCTTTGGCTACTGCTAAAAAAATTCTGACTAGAGGTTGGAATCTCTGTTATCACATTTTCTTACCTTTTAGATTTCCTTAATTAAAAAATTAAATCCTATTCTAAATTAAAAATGATAGATACAATGCAAATTATGCAATTCTTTAAATAGTTTACACTAATTTAAAATCAGGGGTGTGTCTGGTTTGATAAATCAAACTAAAACTAAGACTGGTGACATACTTCTGCTGATGTATTTATAACAATGAAATAATGTATTTTTAACAAAATCAACTAATACAAACTTGAAGGACACCTGTGTTAGAAAAATCAATCCAGCATACATAATTTAAGAAAAATTTATTCGTTGGTTATGTAAAAAGTCAAAATGATTGAGAAATTGACTTTGTAAAGGAGAAAGTGACAAAAAACAAAATTTAATGAAAGAAAGAAAAAGCGAATGTCAAGAAGGTTGTGAGTAGCTAGTAGCTCCACCTTTAGAAAAACTAAATGACAAGCTATGCACTTCACTTATTTACAACAACTCTATCGAAGATATGTTTTTTTGCCAAAAAAATTGCTTTTTGTCCTAGAAACTTTTTAATGTCAACTCTTCAATTCATTTTTAATACTTATTTCCACTTTTTTACTTTTACTGATACAACCTCTTTTCCTATATTTTTTTAAAGGGTTGTGTGGTAAAACTCTTAATTCACTTTTATGGAAATTGTAATAAATATTTTATTTTTAAGATTATGTTTGAAATTTTATGTATTATTGATGAATTGAGCACTTGTACTTATAAATACTTATTTACGCTTAAGTGAAAAGCATTGTATCTTATTATCTTTGTTTTGCAGAAGATTTTTATTTACTTATTCTATGATTCTTTACCTAAATATGTTTTATACTCTTAATAGATTCAGGCTCACAGAGTTTTACTGTCAGATATCGATGGTCAGAAACCTACTTTTGACGCAGTCAATGATTCAGCTAGAGAACTTTTAAACAGTTCAAATCAAAGGTTAGCAAAGAAAATAGAATCAAAGCTGAAAGAAGTTAATCTTAGGTTTGAAAAGTTATGTGAAAAGGCACAGAAAAGATCAGAATTACTTGAAGATGTAAGTATTAATAAAAATCTTAGAATGCACAACCTGTGGTCTTCAAAGACAAATAAAGTCAAATTATATTTTCGCCAGAAAACTATTTTAAAGAATAGAACATAATTTTTAGAAGAAAAATCCATAACTCTTCTTCGTTTTGAAGATTGAACATTCCTCTCTCAATGAGGTGTTCGAATCCTAGCGGTGACGTGAATTCTGCTCCCGCCTCACAATTCCGTTGCTGTCTAGCTAACTGTGGGTGGTTTTTGTGGTTTTCCTCTTCATATAACACAAATTCAGGTTAGATTTATCAAAAAGTCCTCCAGAATGGCTCGTTTGTCCCAATGTCTAATCCAAGAGTTTCCTTGTCTTCTGGGTTGAGTTCAAAATGACAAGGCTATAGAGTTGAGTAATGATAATTGTTAACTTGGAATTGGATCAGCCACTTATATAAAAATGAAACGAAACTGTTCTTCAAGGTGTTCAAAGTATTTTAGTTCTGTTTCACTTAAATTTCAGTTTTCTTTAAAGACTTAGAAATTATTACTATAAAATTCAAAATCCAGAGGTACCCATTAGAGTTTCAAAGAATTTAAATAGTTCAGTAATTTTTACACATATCAAAAACTCAATTTAGTTTTAATAATGAATAGAATCTGTGCAGAATTGCAGATGTTTTTGCGTTAAATATATAATTCATATATTTTGTAAATAAATATTATTTTTGTCTTTTAAATTTAAAGAAATTGATATTGTTCACGTGAAACAAAAGAATAATTGAATTTTATTGAATGCCCTCAAAAGTGACCAAAACGTAAATTAGTATAATGTGATTCTTTTAATGTTTATTTAGATATGCAAATCTGTTGGTATCTTTGAAATTGGTGCCAAAAGAATGGAAGAGTGGCTGACAGCCATGTTAGAGTTAATCCAGAAAAAAGATTCCAGTGATTTGTCCATAACTGAAGACGTCATGAATCAAAAAGAAGTTAGAAGAGAAGAGTTTGAAGAAGTGTTGAGATCAGGCAAAACTTTAGTCAGTAAAAGGGACATTACTGACACCAGTGTTGTGAAAGAAAGAATGAGAGCTCTAGAGCAACAGTGGAAAGAACTTGGTGATTTTGTCTCTGAACAACACCGCAAAAACAAAGAAAAAATGGAACAACTATCTGCTTATGAAGCCTTGAGAGCAAAGATTTTGGAATGGTTGACTTCCATGGAATTTAAAGTGGATGCTTTAGAACCTGTAGCTTTGGATAAAGAGGTGCTCCGTAGACAGTCATTGGAAATCAAGGTATGTATCCTTTTAGCATTGCATTTAAAGCTAAGTTTTCTTACGACTGGTGCAACTATAAGTCTGTAGAATAGGCTTCAGCATAAGTACCATAAGCAAAAAGTCTAGGCTTTCTGATGGGTACATTTTTTTCTTGTGTTGCTAAAAATTCCAGCAAAAACTGATTTTTTTTTTTTTTTTTTTTTTTTTTTTTTTTTTTTTTTTTTTTGAAAAGTAAAAAATTTATATTTTTTCTGAAATTTAGCAAAATTGTAACCAGGAGAAGTTCAATGGTCTCTATATAGATGACTGATTTCCCTAGGTTTTAAAGCATACTACATAAAAGTAATCTGATGTATTAATTATTTGAAATTTGTAATAAATATTTAGTATCTGATCTTTTATATTTCTTAGAGTATCAACATTGAAAGGATTTTATTTTCTCCTGGGAAGTTTCTGTTCAACAATTGAATGAAATCAATTTCAGCTTTCTTTCACAGGGTTCCCAGAGTACTTGAAAGTTCTTGAATTTTGTTTGAAAAAAAATCAGGGCTCCCAAAACTCCTTGAATTCTGTGATGTAGTCCTTGAAAAGTTTTTGATTTTCTCGGAGTAATTTTCAAAATAATAATAATTCTCTTTCCTACAAAAAAGTACAAAACGAAATAAATTTCCAGCGAAATGACTTCCTCTCAATTTGCTGTTTTCTTTATTGAAGAATAGTTTAAGTAGGAGTCTGGTCTAAATTTATCTCCCATCCTTATTTACACCTCCTTTGATCACAAAATAAATAGTAAAAAACCAATTGTGAGAAGAAAATACTGAACAAAATCATGTCTAGTATTAACCTTGTTTTAACCAGGTGTAGCATGCACTAATTTTGAAACAAGTGTGATTTTTTAAACTTTTTATTTTGCTTGCATTAAAATGTTTTCTAAATCATACAAAGTGATAGGTATTTTAAGTGTTTTCTAAATCGTGCATCATAATATTCATTCAAGTGATATGCAAATCACGCATTCAGATTCGTGTGAGAAGGATTAGAGAATTACACATTGCAACTAGCATAAGAGGTGTTTAAGAATTATCATTTGCAATTCTCATCAAAGTGACTTCTGAATCACGCATAGAGATTTTGATTTAAGTTACTTATTGAATCGCAAATCAAATTTTGCATTGGAATGACTACCAGATTATGCATCGATTTTTGCATATAATCACACATTGTGTTTTACATAAAAGTAATCCAAGAATGACGCAACACGATTTGCATTTAAAGTGATTACTGTATCACTCATCCTGATTTACCACTTGTTACTTCATGGATTTTTTAAACTATATCATTTGCTATTCATATTGTTTTAATTTACGAAACATACAATTGTTAATCATACGTTGTGATACGTAATTTACGCAATCTTCATGTTTCATGTATTTCAGTTATATTTTCATGTATCATATAGAGATTTGTATACACGCGATTTAAAAATATAGCATAGTGTATTCACAAAATTTTAAAAATCACACTTTGCGATTTGCGATCTATTTTTAAAAAAATAAAGTTTTGTAAATCTTACTTTGTTGTCTGTTAAAAATATTATTCTGTGAAAGATTTTATTAAGTTCCTAATACATTAGTACTGAGGTAATAAAAAATATTGTGTTTTTAAAATTGAAACTTATGCTAAATATTACTTTTCAATTAATTTTAATATGTAATTCTCTAATCTACAATTTTCTACACATAATAAAAATTGCCACAACTATAAAACAATATAAGATTGATAAACTTAATATATGCTTCAATGTAATAAAATCTGTTCAACATGTATTTTAGCATGCTAACTATTACTAAGTAGGTCCTTGAATTGTTTTTGAAAATTGAGTGGGAACCCTGCTTTATTTTACCTAAATGTTATTGCTATTACTATATTTAACGTCAATGTTTTTACTATTTTTAAAATTTTGTAAACTACATCATAAATAGAAATATTTATTTCTGACTAAAGAATGTTTTGTAAAAATGTATTCAATTAATTAGACTGATTGTACTTTTAGACATTGTCCAAGGAATATGCTGATTACTCAACAACTATTGACAAAGTAAATGATCTTGGAAACAGCTATGACGCTATGCTAAAAGGTGAAAGTCCTCGACATTATTCTGGAAGTCCCAGGAAATCTGCAAGTCCTACCAGAATGTCTCCACCAAGTATGTAATTGCCTTTAATATTATTTCTCTTTTTAAGGCATTCCAATTGTAAATAATAAACTTTTTTTTTAGTATTATTTAAGAGGATGAAAGGTATTTGAGTAATATCACATTTAAAACTATGAAAATTTGTATTTATTAATCATGTGGTTTGTATGGTATTTCATTTTTACATGAAAATATTTCTTAATTTAGAACATCGCAGGTCACCTGATTATGGATCACCTTCTGGACGAGGTATTCAAAGCCCACTATCTAGTATATCGAGTGGATTTGGCAGCTCAAGAAGTTCGGCAGATAATCTCGGTGGCATTGAAGGTATTTGGCATTAAAATGTCTCACTCCTTTTCTGTATTGTTCCATTATTTTAATACTTTTATAGTGTGAAATGTTTAAGATAATTAATTATACAATTTTAGAATTATTTTTGGCGTTCAACCCTGATATAAAATCATTTTACTCTTTTATTTTTTAGACCTTACTCCAATTCAACAACAACTTGCTGAAATAAATCACAGATATAGTCTAATTGGAATAAAACTTTCTGATCGTAGTCAAGAGATAAATTCCTTCTCAGATGAAGTTAAAGTGTATTTAGATAGTCTTAAGAATTTGTTGAGTTTCGTTCAATCGAAAGAACGTCAAATGCCAAAGGAACCTATGCCTGTTCATCGTGACCAAGCAGCTAAGCAACTACAAGCTCTGAAAGTAAATAGAGATTTATATTTTATTTCTTCATATAGAATCTATCTGTATATATCTAATATAAAACTCCTTTTTTTACGTACAGGCTATTCAGGACGATATGTTAGAAAGGCAATTAGAATTTGATAGATTAAAGTCTCAGACAGAAGATTTAGCTCGAAGAAAGCCTACTACACCTGGTATTGATAATTTACAGATGCAAATGTCTGACTTAGGTGAGTCATTTTTTATAATCTTCTATACTGATATTCAATTTTTTATTTTCCTCTCTTAAGAGCATGTCCGAGTTAGTTCAGTGATGATAGCTTTGACTCTTATCCCTATTTTATAACTATACTAAAATTTATACTTTTTCACCAGTTAAACTAAAACTAATTTTGTTAAATAAATGTTATAAAAATTATAAATTTGTGTAGCTCAAAGATGGAATGAATTACTGGCCACTCTGAAGGATAAGACCTCATTCCTGCAAGATTTAAAAGATTTCCAGGATTCCCAAGAGGCTATGAACACATGGTTAGGTCAAAAAGAGAAAATGTTCCAAGTACTGGGTCCCATTGCCTCAGATCCTCGCATGGTTACTTCACAAATTCAACAAGTTCAGGTATTTATAAATTTTTTTTGAAAGCATATACTTGGTGAACATAAATTCACTCAGCTATCTACTAATAGATAAAAAGTTAACAAATATAAATATTCAATAAATAAATAGATCACCAAGATCCTACTTAGATCCTTACTTCACAAATTCAACAATTTCAAGTATTTATACATTTTTTTGAAAGCATATACTCAGTGAACATAAATTCACTCAGCTATCTACTAATAGATAAAAAGTTAACAAATATAAATATTCAATAAATAAATAGATCACCAAGATCCTACTAAGTTTCTCAATTAGTTCACGCATTTTTGCAATCTTTATAACAAACAATATTGTTCAGTGGCTTTCTTAAAATAGGTGCCTCTTTAAGGGAGTAGTTGTGTTAAAAAAATTTATTTAGTTGCATAACAAAAGACAAAAGGGGAATGCAAGTTGAATCCAATGGTGACTTTTAAAAAAGTAGATTATGCATTTATAGATATGGATAAAATTATAGTTTATTCCATATAAAAAAAATTTCTTCCCCATCTCAACGAAAAGTATAATGTGAGCATATGAATTAAATATTTTTTTTTTTAGGTATTAACTTTGATTTTTTTGCGTATAAACTCTGATTTAATCTTTTGAAATCCTCAAAACATAATTTTTTAATGATACTATATTATTGTAGGTGCTAAGAGATGAATTTACATCACAAGAACCTATCTTAAATAAGAGCAGAGAGTGTGGCCATGCTATCTTAGATCACCTTGATGTAAACAGTCCAGCAGCTAAAAAAATAAGGGAACAGCTACAAAATACAAATTTGCGTTGGGATGATTTGATGAATAAATTAACTGATCGTGAACAAAATCTCGCAGCTGCAAGTGGAGCAGCAAAAGAATTCCAAGACAGTCTGAACAGACTTCAAGATCGCTTACAACACATTTCTGATGACTTTGATCATCTTTCTGAAGCTGGAACTGATGCAGTTGATCAGCTCAGAAAGCTGAATGTAAGTTTTGCTTACTGTTTTGATCAAATAACTTCAGTTGAATATCTGTTAAAAATATTTAATTTTATCCGTTTTCTAATTTGATTTTTTTTTAAATTTTAGCTCCATGTTATAAAAAAGAATAATCGTTCTAAATTGTGTTTAGTTGAACAAAATAATAGTCATATCCTAATAAACAGTAAATAGGGAATCATTTTTTAATTGCCATTAATGAGCTGACAATATGAATGTAGGTCATTTAAACATTATTTGTAATAGCTATCCAATTTTTAGCTCAATCCAGAAATCAAGGAATAGGGTCAAATATCAAATCAAGTCAAAATTAATTTTTTATGGAACTAAAAAGCTTATAATTTTTAAGCTAATTCTCACATTTGTAATTTAAGAAAAAACAATAAATTATCTTTTAACCTCATAACATTCAAACTATTAATTTTTTTTTACTGTTAGGGTTTTTTATATTTTAATGTGGTTAGCACATATTATTTTTATCACGGGAAAACGTGTACCTGCTGAATGAACGTTAAGACATGCCGGGGTCATGGAATGAATTCATTATTACCGTAATAAATAACATAATTTTCATTGGAAATTTAATACTTTTGAATCTTAGACACTGAATATTTATTCCTAAACTCTTTTAAGCTTTTTATCATTTTTTTTAGATAAAATTGAAAAAACATGTTCATGTTTACTTCTCTGATAATTAGTAGTATATAAATTATTATATTATCCTCCGTATGATTGTTTTAATGCAGACATGAAACTGTGATAAGGATATTTATTTATATTTTGTTTACTCGAAGACAGCTGCTACACAAATAAATTTTTATGTTCCTTGAAAAAAAATGCATGAATTATTAATTCTAGTAGTCAGCCATTTCTCGAGCAAAACCTCCTTTTGAGGAAGTATTTTAATTTTTATTTCACTGATCTTAGGTAAAAAATGTTTAATATTTAACATGTAGTTCATGATCCAAATGAAGATAAACTGCACATTGAAATCACTTTAATTAACAAAAAATTACACACTGCACTTGGCAGCCACAAAAAATAAAATGATTTGTGGAACAAATGAGTGTTATGTGGTGTCATTTTATTCTATGAACCCAGTAACTGATAAAACATCTCTTGAGGGAGGAAAAATGCTGGAAATTTTTCTAATTTATCACAAAAAACAGATTGGTTTTTGTGAAGGTTTTGTAAGGGTTGAAAACTCGGCTACTAATAAAAAAGGGATGAGCAGGTGCCTAGTTTATTAGGAATTATAGAAGGCATGTGGTCATAAAAATAACCCTAGTGCATCCTCTTGGATTAAGCAGGATTCAAACTCTCTGTTGAAACTGGAATGGCCATCAGAAATTTTGGCAAAATATCTTGATCTCAAAACTTATTACATGACAGATAGATTCTCTGTTATTTGACTTCTTTTGCCCCATCTAAGTGGGTAGGTTTCCTTTTCCATCGAAAGAAAGGAATTTATTCCTAACAAATTTTAATACTAAAATTTTTTTTAAAAATTTGGCTTAATTTTTTATTAACTTTATTTGTTTTTTAAATTTTTAATTAAAACATTAGATTTAATATTTTAAATTTAATACAAAATCTCTTAGGAGTTTCATGATTTGAGGATTTAATAATCAAATTGTACTTAAAAACAAAACTCTTTTTGTTTGGCTCTGAAAGGACTTAGAAGAGCAATTGGAAGATCAGCGCCCCTTACTAGCTGGTGCCGAAGCTGTATGTGAACAACTCTGTGATGTTTTGAGTGACCCAGCTTCCAAATCAGAAATAAAAAACAAACTGAATGGTGTGGAAAAACAATATAATAACCTGAACAGGAAAATGAGTAAGTCTTTAAGTGCATTATGGTTTTCCTTTAAATGGTTATTTCTGTCGTCCTATTTTAAAACTTTCATCTTTAATGTAGACAACAGAAAAGCTGAACTCGAATCAGCCCTTAAAGAAGACAAAGACTTCTATCTGTCTTTTGATCGCATTCAACAATGGCTGAACGATATGGAAGATACTTTATCACACGAATTCCTTGTATCGGCAGACCAAGACATCCTGAAACGTCAAGCTCAGGAGTTCGAGGTGAAATTTGCTTACTTATCTTATTACTGTCAATTATTATACTATATTTCAAAAACTGTTTTTTAAATCAAACATTAAAATATTTCAGCATTTATTTATTTGTTTGACTTAAATTTCAGAGTGTTTACAAGCAAGTTCTTTCGAAGGATCACGAAGTTCACTTATTGATGAGTAAAGGAGCTGACATGCTTCAAAAAGTTACTCGCAAAGTGGATGCAGCCCAACTTCAAAATAAAATGGATTCTACTAAACGTCAGTGGGAAAAAGTTCGTAAAATCGCAAATGATAGGTAATAGAAATATTACTATAAAAGTAAAATAAACATGTAAAAATATTACATATTTGTAATATTTTGTTAGTTTATCTCATTCTATTTTTTATAATATTTTTATAAATAATGTCTTTTGTTTAAAAAAAAAGTGATAAATTAAGTTTTATTTAGTTAATTATTAATCATAATGAAATACTTCTAGAGACATTTAGTCTTAGTTATGAACAATTGAATATCCAATCATATTGTATGTATTTCTATTTGGAATGTATTTTTTAAATTATTCCTTCGTAAAATAAATTTGGGTTTTAATCCTATTTTCGAGTACAAAATTAAAATTATGACTTAATAAACCTTTAATAAAAAACTTGTTTATATGTTTATCGTTATTTTAATCATATTCTTATTATTCTTCTATTTTAAAAGAACAATTTGATCATTTTCTGTAAATAAATCCATAATATTGATTATCCTCTTTTTGTATTAAGTTTGATATTGGTTATAAATATTTTTTCATTTTGTAATTGGAAACATGAGCAATACATAAGAATTGAAGGATAAATTTTGTACCCGTAAGATTTTATTTTTTTAGTCACCCGATGAATTGTCAACCCATTTTTAGGCTTATGGCTAACAATGCTTCACTCCATAACCTTGTAATTTTGAACCCAACCCAGAAGACAAGGGAACTTTTGGATCAAGCATTGAGACAAACTGTCCTACTGAGAAAACTTTGTATGGAACATTCCCGCTTTTACATTATATGGAAATGAAAACCACGAGAACCTTCCATGATTAGCCCAACAGTAATTGGATTCTATCCTATGAATCTGTCTACCGCTGAGGACATTTTACATCAGCGCTGTTCTCGGTGTGAGCTGGGAGCAGATTTTGTGCAGACCTTAGGTCCCCGGATAAGCCACATCATTCGGAGGAGACCGTTTTTTTTCCCTCCTGAGCCACAGTGACTTTCCTTGTTAAGATCTTTTGGGTTTTTAAGGAAGTCAAATTTGCCTTTTCATCTAATTGAATGAATTAATTATCAAATAGGGTGTCTCTGGTATGTTTCTTTCCCATTTCTTGATACTTGGAGAATTCATAATGAAAACATTTTATTAAATTGCAAATATTTTACAAAAACATAAAAAAGGAAAAATCTTAGACATTTTTAAAATGCCTAAGATTATTCAGATAAGATGATGTAATTTTATTAATATCTATTATAGCATGAGTACTGCTTATTAAGTGTTATTACTTTGTTGTAGACACACCCTCCTACAGAAATGCTCTGAGAACTGCAAAAAATATCACAACTCTTGTAATTCTTTTGTACCTTGGCTTAACAAGTGTGAAGATAAAGTTCAAAGTTTGCAACCAATCAGTTTCCAAAAAACTCAACTTGATAAACAAGTTAAAGAAATTCAGGTTGGTTAAATGTTTTAGTTCAAAGCATTCTCTACGTATTCCAACCATTATTATTTAAATTTTGGTTATATATAAGTATTGCTATATTCAAATTCTCTATTTGTAATTTTTTCCAAAAAAATATAATTGCTTGACTTTTTATCCTGGACCTAAGTATGTCCTTAATTTCTATATGTAAAAATTAAGCCTTTCACTGCGATGACAATACATAAACTATTTTACTGTTATGTTCAGTGTTAAGGTTTTGTGCGGTTATTTTATGTTGTAGATAAGTAAAATCACAAGTTATTTGTACAACTATTTTCTCAATTTACAATGGTAATTTTCATTGTCCACTGCATCACTTGTGTGCAGTCATTTCTTTTCTAGGCATGGTTTTACGAGTCTACCTTCGGATCAAATTTATCTTTGGAATTCAGTTGTTGCTGAAATAAACATGATATCTGAAATAGTTTTGCTGGCATATCAACAGAGTTCAGAGCTCGTAACTAAATTCTCATTCATTATCAGCATTTCTTGTTGCAATATTGTCGAACGAACGATAAAGGATATTTTTGAATAACTTCCTTTGGCACATAACTTATTTGTTAAACCTATCTGTGCTTCCTTCTCATTCATACTTCCAATAATATATTTTTTTTCTTCAAAATAAGGATTTTTTTTTTTTACATTTTAGATTTAAAAATGACTTATAATTCTATATTAGTTTGCACTTTTTTATGTTTGGTTACAGCATTTCTTTTTGAGTCAAATTATTTTGAATAGTTATGTGTTCAAATGGAAAAAGATCATTATTATGTATTAGTTGATAACATCATTATGATAAACCAAGAGTATAAAAAATTCCCATAATTAAACCCGTTTATAACCCATAATTAAATTGGAGTAATATTTATTATGATCACCTTAATATTGAAATCACCCTTCCAAAACCAAATGAGTTTGCTATCCACAATTAAATACTTTCAAGCAATGTCAGTCATTCGGGTTTAGCACACACTCACGTTTGCAAATTAAAATCTGTTCTGATAATTTATTAGGCATGATAATAAATCCAAGCCTCAAAGCTGTAATGTTAACACATCATGCACAATCAAGTGGCAAATACCCGATTTAACAAGCTCTTGGATATACTACACTTGCAATGTATAACTTACAATGGTTTGCTAACATTTGGTTGGATAGCACATAAGATCATAGGTTGATTGCTAATTCAGCTATTTATCAATTTTTTGAATCCAATTTGTTAAAATGTACTTTAAAATTTTAGGGTATTAAAAATGATCTCATTAAGCACTCTCAAGAATTTGAAAATACTTGTAACTTTGGAGAAGTTTTGATTTCCTGCTGTGACATTGATGTTGAAAATGTTCGAGATGATACTGACAGACTAAGAAAAAGGTGGGACAGACTGAATCATGGTAAGTAATACTTCTTGTGTTTTGTGTCACTTTCTGTGAATGATAAAATTAATAATTCTGCATTTTAAATCTTTTTCAGCGTAATCTGCAAGTGTATTTATTAACCTGTTTTAGCCATTCTCTTATATTTTATATTAAAAAAAAGAATTCGTTATGTAGATTCGATGTATGAATTAATCCCATCTTTATTCATTACTAAACAGAATTTTTTTTCTAAATGAAAGGATATAAAAAATCTGAACTTTTCAAAAATAAGTAAAATCTATAAATGAGTCATAAGTAAAAATGCTTGATATGTTGATCCAAAATTTAAAAGACTTCTTTAATTTTATAGATGTGTTGGAAAGAGCTCAAGCATTAGATGATATTTCTCATAAACTCAATGTTTATCAAGATAAAGCTCGTGATGTTAATCACTCATTGCATAGACTTGAAGACAGGCTGCTCTCCCATGATGCTTTAGGAGATAGTTCAAAAGATCCAAAATTATTAGCCAGGATGAAGGTAACTATTTATGTTTACATTATCAAAAGAATTTTAATTTTCAGGGTGTGCAGCAAATTTCATCCTTTTTAAAGGAGCCTCATCAAATGTCTAAAAAAGTGTGTATTTTAACATGAAAAGTAAATTATGTGAAACATAATTTGACTTTATGTGCTTTTTTTATTTAATTAAAATTTATCTGCAATTAACAACTGTACATGTCATTAGAATGAATCATATTTGCAATGAAAACTATCTTACTCTTATGAGAGGAAATTTTCTAGTGATGTAAATTTTAAAAAAATAGTGCTTGCTGATACTTTACTTGGCAAAAATACCAATCTCCGTTGGTAAGATCTTATTTCAAACATCATTTAATGTGGAAAAATTTGACTGTTTAGCATGGAATATTTTTTTCATGTCAAACAAATTAGTGAAGGGACCTACTGTTAAATTTTAATTAAAATGTAGATTAAATTTTGCAATGTTTCAAGATGATGCTTTAAAACTCCATTTTCACAAAATGCCGGGATTCTATATGGACAAATGTTTAGTTATCTAAGGTTAAACACATTTATTGAACACTAGATTATTTAATTTATCGTTTTAATACTTTTAAAAGTATGCAGTCAAAAAGTACAATGTAGACTTTGTATATGATTTTTTGTTACTGAATAATAATATTTTACTGAAGCTATGAGTTTTTTAATACCTTTCTAACATTTTTCTCCTTAACATTGAAATTTTTGAAATCATATGTATCAAATAAACTTTAGATTGTTTTCTTAATGAAAAATAGAGCTAAAATTGAAGTAAATTGCAGAGCTGTTATTCTTATTTATTTCCTAGGCTCTTCTAAACGAAGCAGGCGATGTAAAACGTCAGTTGAATGGTTTGAGAGACTATGTTGATATTTTAGTATCTGAGGCTTCACCCTCAGTCGATACTTCTCATATCACCAATGAAGTAGAGGACTTGGAAAATCGCCATAGAATTTTAACTCAAAAATTAGAAGATAGATGTTGTGATCTGGAATCTGCCTCTGAAGTTATTGCTCAATTTAATGTATGTAACTCTGAAGTAATTATTACAATAAAATGTTACTCTTATTACTTGATCAATGATTCATTATTTATAATTTTTTTAGAACAAAATGAAAGATGCTCACCTAGATTTAAATCACCTAGAAGAAGAACTGGATAATATGTCTCCTATTGCAAGGGATGTGAAGACACTAAATGCCCAAATTAATCAAATTAAAGTAATTATATTTATAGTTTACTATAATTACTTTAATTTTCACTAATTCTGTGCTAAAAGTGTATTCTAGTTTTATTTATTAAATAATTTGTTATTTTTATTATTAATATTTGTCTCCTATTGCAAAATACGTTAATATGTTTGAGTAAATCCAAAAAAAAATAATAATAATCATACATTTTGTTGAAAGTACAAAAATTTGCGTTTCATAAATACAATTTGTTCATAATTGATTCTGTTCACAATTTTAAAAAAAAATTCAGGAGTTTATTCATTTCTCTATTTCTCTCTGAACTAACCAGTTTTACCTACTGATTATTTTAGTAAAAATATAGATCATTTAACCAGTGTCTTTTATTGATTCCCTAAATACATATATTTATTCAATATTATGAAGTATCACATTTTATTAGAAAAATATATTGTTGTGTGTTCAGTTTTCTAAAATTAGTATCCTGGTTACCTAACATAGTTAGCTCTTAAACTCTTATATCTACTTTATAAGGATATTTCAATAAAAAATCTTTAAAATAATATTTTCTTATTTCCTAACATTTTTAAATTAATCATGAATGTGCTTTTTATTCCATTTGTCATTCTTCAATTTAATTTAAACAAAATTTGATTGTGCATAGCAATAAACTTTTTTTAAAAAAAATTCCTTTGCTGACTTTTTAATTCTTGATTGCTATTTGCTCTCGACAGGACAAAATCAGTTATTTCATATTATTAGACAAAGTAATATTGTAGTATAGAACAGCAACATTTTCCTAAATATACCAATTTATAAAAACTACAAAAAATTACAATAACAAATATTAATGTAATTTTAAAATATATTAACATATAACTTAGAAATTTAAATTACTCTGCTTTGAGAATTAGGTAGCACTAATTAATAACGCTGTTATATTAAAAGCATAGTTTTATAATTGAAAAAAAAAGTGAATTCTTTTGTGTTCCATGCATTTTATTACTTTTATTCTTGTAAGTTTTCATATATTTTCACAATATCTATGAAAAGTATTAACAAAAATTATTTTTTGTTATTACACTAGTGATCCAAATTTTATTTTTTTGAGCACATGAAAAGTTAAGGTTTAAATTTGTCTTAGCATCATAAATAATATTCTTATAAGGATTGAGTCACTTTCTTTTTCTAGTGTTTTAAAATTCCTTACCATACATCTACTCATTTTTCCTTGACATGCATTTTAAATCAAGAAGGTTTATTTAATGAGTGATTTGAAGTATGTGCATCTCATTAAGAATAATTTTTCTTCTAGAATTATTTGCATCGACTGAAGCGAGCCAGAGATGATTTTGAAGATGTTGAACATCAATGTAATGACATTATCACTCACGGTTATACACCAGATCCTAAAGGTTGTCGAAATCAGGTAAATACAGTGTATCATTTTAACTTTTTTTTCTAAACTATAAAATACAATGTTTTTTTAAAATATATTTTAGAATATATACTATCAAAATTGTATGTAATGAAATCATATGGTACAAGGTAACATATTTCCTAAGTCAGGAAACACTTTAAACCATTGTTACCAAAACTATAAAAACATGAGATATATCCCTCTAAGGAACTAAAGTTTAAAAACCTTTACTTACCTTTTTTTGTTTACAAGAAGAGGGGCTGTTTTTTGTTTGTGTTTCTACTTTGAGCCTTTCTTCGGCGATTTCGGACATAGAATTACGTGGGTGGTTACATAGGTAATTGCATTACAACGCAATCTTAAAAATGAAACGATAAAGAATGGTCAACAATGAACAGGGAAGTACTAGGATTTATTCAATGGCTTTCGTAGGATCGTCTCTGTTAATTATTACTATGGCGACAATTTCTTATTCGCCTGATGTCTATTATTCCTATGGCCGTATTTGTTGAGTGGTTGTGGGATTAAGAGTAAGACAAAGAAAGGACACCCCATTCTTATTCTTTATAATAGTTTTCAACTGTACAGGAAATTTTGAACTCTTTTAACTGTTTCAATGAATATTTTTTTAAAAGCTACACAAAAACATCCTCTTAATCTCGTCCAATTTATGTATGAATTACAATCCCTCTATTTTTTTCTTGAATATTAAGAAAAAATAACCCACTCATATAATAATTTAAGAGTATATAGTTTTCATAAATTATATCTGTTAATTTGATATTTTTTCAGTTGGATAGTTTACAGCGCCAACTCATTAGACTGGAAGAAAGAGCAAAAACGAGAGATAATAATTTGGATGCTATGTTAACAAGATTAGAAAGATTTTATGAAGACTACACTCATATATCTAGAGACTTGGAAGATACTATTCATGAAGAACGATCTTTTAAATCTGTTGGAGGAGAAGTTGATGCCATTCGCTCTCAACAGGAAGAATTTAAGGTAATCATCCTACTCTCTCTAAGGTTGTTTTCTTTTGGTGAACACAGGTGTTATAACACTTAAGTATCCAACTGATATTTGCTCTTCGAGAGGTACATATAACACTGTCTGATTAAATAATTTTTTGTGGCTTAAGTTAACAATATGACTTATGTTCACAGTTTTGGGCTATTATGTGCATTTCATTAATTTAATCATATCAAAAATTCATCTATTAAAATTTGTATGCTCGTATCTCTATGGTGTTTTTTTTAGCTTTTTTTTAAATTAGCTTTATTATAGTTTGCATTTTTTTTTATATTTGTAATTTTTAGATTAATATTAAAATATTTTATGGATTGATAATAAGTTTTAAGGGCTTTTTAATTTATTTATAGGCACCACATGAGATAACCTTTATTTAATAGAAGTGAGAACTTAAAAAAAATTTTTACTTACAGCACTACCATAAAGATAGATTAGAGCCACTAGGAAAACAGATAGATGGCATCAACAAAGTTGGACAAGGTTTAATCCAATCTGCATCCTCAGGAGTGGATACATCTATATTGGAACAAGACTTGGATTCTCTTAATGAAAAGTGGAACAATTTGAAACAGAAAGTAAGAGATCCATCATTGCTTCTCTAATATCAAATGATTATTCATGAAACGTATTTTGCAATATATGAGTTTTTTAAATTGTAATTGTTTATATAGCATATGCGATAATTGTTTATATTTTTTTATTATATTGTTTTAATTTAAATCAAAATAGGTGAAAAATATTATATTGAGCATTTTAAAAATTTATGGTTATGAAATAAAGCATGAAACGTCGGTGTCTTTTTCTGTATTAAATGTAAAACATTTTTGACTCATCTCACTCCCGAACAATCATTTTTCAAATTTGCACTTATTTAGATCTAGGAGAAATCGTTAATGTCCTTCATTTACAAAATCAATTATTAATACGTTTTTGAATATGAATGAAAAAGAAAATTTTAATCTAATTTTTTTTTATATATATTTTTGTACAAATATAATTCCTGTAGTCTAACATATTTTTTTAGTAACTATTAGACTGTAAAATGACTGAAACTACATAATTATTGTAAAATTATTAATTGTAAAAAATATCCAATATTAAAATCAAAAGAGCAGGAGAGGGATAATTAGGCTGGTAAGCAAATTCACAATTTTCTTTTAACTTTATTCAAAATTGTTAGCAAAGGAGATTGACTAGTTACAACCGCTCTCATCAAAATCCTTGAAGCATCTGACTATACCGCACTGTTACTTTTAAAGAGAGAGAGGATGACGCAACAATTATAATTGAAAAATGCCAAAGATATTTTTGCTAGTAATGCTGTAAACACTGTTTAATGTTGCAAACAATTATTTCAGCAATTTCCAAATAATGTTTCTCCTTTGAAAATGAATTATTTTGTAACAATTTAAAATAATATTTATTATAGATGAATGAGAGAGAGAGAAAACTGGATATAGCTTTCTTACAGTCTGGTAAGTTCCAAGATGCCCTGGATGGTGTGCAGAAATGGTTGGAAGATACAGAAGAAATGGTTGCTAATCAAAAACCTCCTTCCGCTGATTATAAAGTTGTTAAAGCTCAATTACAAGAACAGAAGGTAGTGGTTTCAAACATTGTAGTTTCACATTTTAACACGTTTTATTCACTTATGCTACTACTTATTCTTTTTTTTATTTTTATAGTTCCTGAATAAACTACTTTTCGATCGACAAAACAGCATGTCCTCTTTGATGCAAATGGGATCAGAAATAATGAAAAATGCTGAACCTATGGAACGTATGCAGATAGAATCTCAACTGAATGACTTAATGCATAGGTTTGATGAATTGTCCAATTCTGCTCAGGAACGCACTGATGCACTCGAAAGAACCATACCAGTTGCTAAAGAATTCCAAGATCGTATTATACCTCTAGAAGAGTGGTTAGAACAAACTGAGAAGAAGTTGGCAGCAATGGCTACCATTCCTACAGACCAGGAGAAAATTAGGAAACGTATGATAGAGCATGAGGTATTTTTCTGTTTTTAGAATTCTCAAATGTCCCAACAATTTTGATTCAATAAATCGATAAAAAGTCTTTTTTCTTATCATCAAATCTTCATGTACAAGGAGATTCACTCATTTGTGTTTGCAGGCGTCATTGGTGGGTATATGTACCCCTCAATAATTAGAAATTGTTACAAATCCTCCCCCTCAGTATTTCAGACCCATAAAGAAATTTTTCATGAAATATCATCAATTTAAATTCTTTAAAGATATAAACATGAAAGAGATAAAAATTATTAATCTTTTTGCAGATATTTAAGATGTTTTTTTCCTTCTTATTTGTGAAATTTAGACAACTATTATAACTGATTAATTTAGTTATCACCCTCAAAAATTGGACCCCTGCATGCCCATGGTTGTGTTGATAATAAATTTGCATTTGAGAAAAAGTGTATGGTGACAAATAGTGCACTATATTTTTTAAATCTGTTATGGTCCAATTTTTTTATTATAAATAATTTTTTCCTGGGTTTTGTTTTATTATTTCATTGATTATTTATTAGTTTGTGCTCACATCATTCGCTTTCCAAAACTGGCCCTAAAATGACATGAGAAACATCAGTGATACAGCATTAAAATAATGATTAAGTATAAAGACACAAAAGTATTCTGTCATGCAAAAGTCAAGCGACAACAAATTCAAAATTGAGATTTTTTATTTAGCATTTCTGCATGATAAGATACTTATTTAGGGTGCGTAGCATTTTTAAAAAGTGCTTAAAAGTACTTGTTTTCGATTTTCAGTTTTTAAAAGCCCTTAAAGGTGCTTTTTTTCATTGAGTGTTTTTGAAAAGTGTTTAATTTTCCCTTTTTCAAAATGAGATTTTTCCTTTACTATGTTGATTTTTGTTCCGAATTTTTCAAAAAGACACAGTTCCCGTTGTTCTATTCAACGTTTTCACAATTAATTCAACCCCAATCTATTTTGGCGTATTGTCAGTCCGTAGTGTATGAAAACGCCATTCGTTTCACAGGATTCAAAATTTCATGATTTTTGACAATTGTCAAAAACAATGTCAAAAGGTTATTATTATTATTTTTTACATAACGGTTAAAACTTGAAAACCGTCAATTGTCAAAAACTTTCCAACCTTGCCTAATTATGATTTTTTTTTTAAGTGCTTAAAAATATTTTTTGAGTGCTTGAAAAGTGCTTAAAAGGTGCTTATTTTTTGTTGAATAATTTGGCTATGCACCCTGTTATTGCAAAAGATTTTGTTTTATCAGTTTTTTGAATTTCTACTTTAGTGTTCACAGTATTAGCAATAGAAAGAAAATAGTTGTGAAGCCACTTTTCTCCAAATCTACTGTGACGTTTTTTTATTTGCATGGCAGTATTCATCTTTATGTCTCAATTTATGTACTTGTTAGAAGCAGATCCTGTAATAGAAACAAAATGTTGAATTTCGCAGCTCTTCCACATTGTAAGGTATTGAATAAGAGTGGCAACATATCCCAAAAGAATGATTCTAGTGAGAGGAAAAATTGGTATGCATCTTAACCTAGTTTTGTAAAGAGAATTTTTCATATTGAATACCTATCTGAATTAATTTTAAGTCTTTACAAACACACTAAATTTGCTTAGGTAAATAAACATCTGAGGGAAAAATTGTAATCTAAGCAGAATGTATGTATGATAATATAGTCTAAACGAATGTTTTATTACAGTCAAATTGATACAGAAGTTTCAATGAACTGTACAAATTTATTCTTGTGTATCAAATGAAAATTTGCAACAAAAATTTTCTTGTTGTTATACACAATACAAATTATGCATATTCTCAAGCTCAAAATTACATAAAACTTTTATTAAAGAAAGAAAATTTTAATTAAATGCACAGTTATTGTAAATGTCTGCAGTAATTTATTCTTAATAATGGCAAATGAAAATGAAAAATTATAATTCTTTTGTTATAGGCTCTCCATGATGATATAATGGATCACAAGGCTGCATTTGAAGAATTAACAGAGGTGGCTCAAACTCTAATGAGCTTAGTAGGTGATGATGAAGCACAGATGGTCGTAGAAAAATTGCAAGATGCCACAAACCATTTTGCTAAAGTTGTGGAGGACAGTGAACACATTGGTCAACTATTGGCTGAAGCATTCCAAGGACTTGGCTCATTTAACATGAACTATGAAGATCTCATGGCTTGGATTGATGAAATGGCGTCACGTTTTTCACGCTTCCGCACATTGAGTGTGTATGTTGATAAACTGCAAGAGCAACTGGATGAACTTGTTGTAAGTTTTCTTTATTTTATTTTCTATTTTTTGTTATGGATATTATGAAGCCTGTAAATATCTAAAAATTATCTTGTTCAATCATACAGTTTCTTTTTTTAATGGTATGTAATTTATCTCAAAATTCAGTAAATTTGTGACCATTGCATATCATACTCCTAATCAAGAAATTAAATATGGCCTTAATCTTACTATGTACTAATTTTGATGTGAGTCATTTGACAGCATTAAGCTGTAAAATAAATTACTTAATTCATTTCAATTTTTACTGATTATTTTTTTATGCAGGAAAATATTTAAGACATTTCAAAGATTAATTATTGATATCCAATGTAATTTAATCCATTATAATTTCTTTTTGCATCTTTCAAATGGATCCTTACTTTTTATGGGTGATTTATCTGATATTTTTAAAAAGTTTTTAATTATTCTTACAGGAACTGAGTGAGGAAATTGCAGATCACCAGAAGCAAGTTGATGAGGTTGCTAATGCAGGTCAAGAAATAATGAAGCATGCATCAGGTTTGTTGAAGTCAAAATCATGAAGATGGTATCTTTTATTTAAGGATGTCAATTGATTCATATAATTTTTCTTAGGTGACGATGTTATTCGTATGAAAGAAAAACTTGATAATCTGAGTGTAAAATTCACAGACCTGACTAGTCGCGCAGCAGATAAATTGAGACAAGCTCAAGATGCCTTACCCCTGGTACAAAATTATCATGCATCGCATGAAAGAGTTATAGTCTGGATGGAGGATACAGAAAGGCAACTTAAAAACTTAGAAAATGTTGGACTTTCTAGCCAGGAGACTATTATTCAAGTAATTAATATTTTAAACAAAACTTTGGCTACCTAAATAGAGTCATTTAGCAAAATGGATTAGTCATGAAAATGCATTCAATTAAGTATTCCCATATTATGTATTTTTACTATAATTAAGTATAGATTTTATGTCTCCATAGTTATACTTGAATGTTTAAAAAAAATTTAAGCATTTATTAATTTTATTTAATTATTTATATTATTCATGTTTAAAAGCGAAATGTTTTTGTTTGAGTGTGCAGTGAGTATTTCCTTTCAGGTGCTTCAAATTAAATAATGTAAGAAAATGATAATTTTTAGCGCACTTTCAAAAATCAATCCAATATTAAATGGTGGTTGTTCGAAATCATTATAAGTATGATAAATTCCAACCCTGTAGTAAAATTGTTAAATCATATTTTTTGGAAACAAAACAAATCTAAAAACTACTAAGCACGTTGCTCTGTTAAGTCGAAGAAAAGGTTGTTGTTCTTCTTTATGTCTATCTGCCATGTAAGCTATCTTACAATTCTTATGACAGACATCTTACCCAACCAAGCTTTTGTTAAAACTTACAACTGTTATGCACGCTTTTCAAATTGAGTTGTTAAATGTAGATATTTTTTTTATAAATTAGCTTATAGATTACGCATCTAATTTTTTAAATGAATTTTAAACTAAAGAATTGTACTGAAAACGAACCTTCGATATGTTTGTTTAAAAACATTAAAAAAATGCAGACAAAGTTTCTAAGAAAGAGACTTTTGATTTGTCATCTCACCGTTTGATTAAAACAAGTATTTCTTGTGAATAATTAGTCGCAAAAGTAATATAGCAATGTGTATTTTTCAGAACTTTTAAATAATATACAACTATTGAGTTTTAAATTTTACATTATAATCTGACATGTCCCTTTTTAATCATAATGAATTTAAAGAATGAATGGTTTTGAATAACTGTCTATTTGGACACAATATGATGTTATAGTGAAGAACTAATTTCATGTATGTTAGTTTTACTTGCAAATGTTTGTAACTTTAAAGGTTAACAATTCTTTTGAGCTAACGATCGCAACACTATTTTTGTTAAAGCTTTTCACAAGTAACTTAGTACACGAATTAAAACAAACTCTAGTGATAAATTAAAGCTAATCTTGGTCGTATTATATTTATAATTAAGCTAAACGGTTTAGTTAAAATATTTGTGGTTTTGCTGATTTTAATTTTAGTGTCCTAATTTTAGAGACTTGAAGGAGAAATCCAAGAATATAGACCTTTGGTTGAAACTCTAAATCATCTAGGTCCTCAGTTGTGTCAGATGTCGCCAGGTCAAGGAGCAGCAGATATAGAAAATCAAGTAACTCGTATCAATCGCAGATTTGATGCTATATGTGAACAAGTTCAAAGAAAAGCAGAACGGATTGATTTATCAAAGCAGAGAAATGTTGAAGTTAGTATTTGTTCTTTTAAGTATTATAATTTGTTCTTTTAAGTTCTTTTAGCATTTATCTTTTATGTATAGCTCACAAAAAATATTAACCACCTAGAATAACTTTTGATCTAATGGCTGGATCTACATATTCTAGGACTCAAAATTTAACCAAAATAAAATTTTACAAATTTTGAGCAAAGTGCGACGTTTCTAAATTTCAAATTTTTTAGAAATATTCAACCGATTTTGTTCAAATTTTGTATTTTGCCATGTAAAACTAGATTGTTTAAAATAAAGTAAAATATTTTATACCTCACAGCTGGAAATTTTTTTAGCTATTATTAAATAAAATAAGGGAAAATAATAAATATTTAATAAGAAATATATTTTGAATAGAACTATCTTTGGATAAACAAGTTTTATAATTGTGTGAAAAATTTGCTTTAAGAGGAAGGAGAAATCCACAAAAATTATCATTAAGGGATCCAAACTGCGGACTGCTCTCCTGACCAAACTATCGGAACTATATTTCCCAGATTCCGCTGAATTTGGGGTGTCCGAAATCTGAATCAGGCGGGGGAGGAAACCATGTTTATTAAAGTACATTTTTGTTTTTATAACTTAAAATATCGGCTGCAGTAATTTTTAGCATATTTAAGGTTACCCCTTCAAACCATTGTGTCCTAGATCGGATCATCAGATCAAAAGTTATGTGTGGTGGTCTGTTTATTTTTTTACGCACTTTCCAGTGGAGAGTCTAAGATCGAGCGACTCTCTCTCTCTCCTCCGATGACCAGTTTCTAAAGACACCAACATTTTTGATGTTAAAATGTCTTCTAAAAATGTATATTCAGATTTTTCTCCAAAAATTAGGTGAAGACTGGGTTGTAAAGAGCATGCGAAGGATTTCGTGCAGGTAGAAAATATGTACCTAGTACTACTTGTATAGTCTGCGATATTCAATAAAAATTTGGAAAAACTATTGTTTTTTAAGCTCTTTTATTAATACAGGATACAATTACCTTCTCAATATTTTTCTCTAACTACTTTTCGAATAACAGTGGGTTGCACTCGGAAAGTTTCATTGCATATGTTTGTGTTAAATCTTTTTACAAAATCTGTAATATATATTTAAAATATTTAAGGATAAAATATTCCTTTGTGAAAGAATTATTAAAATTAATTTCATTTGGCTTTTTAAAAAATTATATTTCTATTAATAATTTTATAATACACAATTCTCTTTATAAATTTGATTTAAATTATTAAATTAGAAATAAGGCTGAGGATCCGTGTATTTTTTTATTTTATTTATATGTATTTTTTTTCTTCAGTTCTTTGCTATAAAACCGAAATTAAAACATAAACTTGCTTCTACAAATTGTTGTTACTGTTGGGCTAAGTAGAATGGTTCATCAATGTTATTAAACACTTCTTATCTGCATTGTTTTATAAGAGTTAATTAAGTTAAAAATTATTTGATTTACTTAAGTTAGAATTTTATGAGTTTGCCTAAGCTTAGGTTTTGTTATATTTTGTATCATTTTATGCAGGTTATTAGTGATATTGAAGACTTATTAGACTGGTTTCATGATGTTGAAAAACAATTATTACAAGCTGAGCCTTTAACAGCTAATCCAGATTCATTAGCTGTCTTACTTAAAGAACAAAAGGTAAGATTAAATGTGTTAGTTTTAGCAAACAAATGTGTTTTCTAAAACTGAAGATTATTATTGTTCACTCTAGCTAACTTTGATAAGATTTGAATTTTTCTTAGTCAGTGACACTTGTTTCAATTACACGATTAATGTTTTTAAATTTACTTAGATTGAATCTCAAAATTGTGCCTGATAGTGTTTGTTAACCTTTCTGTGATCTAGTAGTTAAAGTATTTTATTTTATGGCCTGTTATAAATTTGAATTGTAAATAGCATATAAAATTTAACAGAGTAGGTTCTATATTTTAGATATTTTTTTTATTAAAATTATAAAGAGCAAGAATCTGTACACTTCTAGCCTGTTAACTTATTTCAAAAATCATTTTTTGTAAGTCTAATTTAGTTTTTCACTCAGTTTACTAGATTTCATTTTAGAAATATCACCGTTAAAATTATTGTTTCATTTTATTACAATTTTAAAAGTTTGTAAAAATGCAATTGTTGTTAATAATTTTTGTTACATAGGTTCTAAATGACGAGGTGAGCAGTCAAAAAGGGCGCGTGAGAGATATCTTGTCTTCTGCCAAAAAATTAATGAGAGAGTCGAGTGGAAACGATCTAGCAGAAGTGAGAAACAAAGCGGATGAACTGAAAGAAGTTGCAAATTCTGTGTCTGCCATGTGTGCTGATCGTCTAGCTGTCCTTGAGCAAGCGTTGCCACTAGCAGAACATTTCTTTGAAACTCATGCTGATCTATGCCAGTGGTTAGATGAGATTGAAAGTGAAGCTGAATTGATGGAAACACCTGCCATGAATGCACACCAAATCAAAAAACAACAAGATAGAAATAAGGTACAAGAAGTTTGTAATTAGAAATAAATTTTTCACACAATACTTTTTTTCAGTTCAGTCAGATGATTAAAAAAAATCTGTTCTTGTTAGTACTGTCGATTGAACTTGAATTGTATTAACCGTTAATGAGTTTTTTTACAAATGAGATTTTTAAAAAACTTAAATAATGACAGCTCCTTCTAATTTGTAATGATATTGAAGATTAAATTTTTTAATTTCTAGGCTTTGATGCAGTCCGTGCATGAACATAAACCTCTTGTTGACAAGCTGAATAAAACAGGGGCTGCACTGAAAAAACTTTGCATACCAAAGGAGGCTCATAAAGTGCAGAACATAATGGACTCTGATAACAGTCGATATAATGCACTTAAAGATATACTTCGAGACAGACAAAATGCTTTAGAAGAAGCTATGCAAGCAACGTCTCAGGTAAGCTTCTTCTATCAATTAAAGTTGAAAGTTAGTTTGAAATAGTGTGGAATTTGATCTCAATAATTTTTTGCCAAATTTTGTGGTGTTTTTTTATTATTAAAAATAATAACACTAATTGCCTACAAATTTTAAGATTTTAAAAGCGTTTTTAGCTACCTTTTTTTAACATAATTTTATGTGTACAGCTTTGGAATATTAAAAATGAGATTGTACTATTAGTTTAATTGTTGCAAAAGTACAAAAAGAGAGAGAGAGAAATGACCTATATAGTTTTTACATACCATTTTCATATTTGAATAGATAAACTGTTAATAAAACATGTGTAATACTATTATAATGTTTAACCATTTAACTTTTGATATAAATAGCATTTAAAAGCCATCCTTTTTTATGTTATTCTAAGCAACAAAATATCTCAGACAAATGAGTGGCATTTTTTCATCTGATTAAATTTTCTGCAAAGTTTTTTTTTTTTTTGAAGTTGGCAGTTTATAGTTATAAAGACCATGTCAAAATACTTACAACTTGTATGTATATTTTATATTTGAAAATGTAATTCCATCAATATACTCCATATTTTAAATAATTAAAATTCTATCTATATTTTAAGTTAAATATCATATGCATGGTATAGTGAGTTGCCAGAAATACTTTGTACCAATAGATTTTGAATTTTAGTATTAACTAAAAAACATGGATGTGAAATTATAGTATCAAAATAAAATGTCATTCGCTTTTTTTAGTAATTCTGTTCAAAAATGAATTTCTTAGAAGTATTCTTTTAAAAGCAAACTATTTATTTCAGTTCTCTGATAAACTTGATGGCATGCTGAATTCCCTGAGTAATACTGCTGAGCAACTTCAGAATGCTGAACCAGTTGCAGCTCATGTAGAAAAACTGGAAGAACAATTAAATGATAACCAAGCTGTTCTTCAGGATCTTGACAAAAGATCGAATGCATTAGAAGCTGTAAAAAGGGCTGCTGATGATGTCATTGTTAAAGCAGGTGGAGCTAGAGATCCAGCTGTTAAAGGTTAGTTTTCTTTAAGATTCTGTGCTTTGTAGTTGAATAAGCAAAATGTTAATGGGATTTCTTTTAAAACCATTTTCATTTTTGAAGATAAATTTTTTTTTTTCAGATTTTTTGTTGTGATCAAAATTTTTTACTATGAAAACAAACTTAGAGTTTGAAAATTCTCTATTCTTGACTTAAGCGTAGCTAAAGATTTTGTCTACCAGAACAAAATCTTCATGATCTTTCTTTCATCATTTCATTTATTTTTTGCATTTTAGTATGAAACAAGGAATATATTTGTTATAATTTAATTACAAATTTTTTATTGCAAGAATTTTGTTACTGGCATGCCAATAAACTGCATAAGTGTGACAGCAAGACTAAAGAATAACTTAAAATATTTTGTCACCTTTATTTCATAGTGGCACACTTTGCAAATGATATCTCAATACATAGTAATTCTTATAATAATGAGATTTCAAAAAGCATGTGCCTGGTTTTTCGATTTAAGAGTGAAGATGTTAAGAACATAATCAAGTAATGGTTGAAAATTATTTTTAACTTTAGATATTAAACAGAAGCTTGACAAACTCAATCAATTATGGGATAATATTCAAAAATTGGCAAGCAATAGGAATAGATCCCTGGAGGATGCCCTAGCAGCTGCTGAGCGTTTCTGGGATGAGTTGACTATGGTTATGAAAGCTCTAAAAGAGCTCCAAGATAGTTTGAATGCCCAAGAACCTCCTGCTGTTGAACCGAGTGCTATACAACATCAGCAAGATGCATTGGAGGTATGATTTAAATTACATACTATGAAAAATAGGTCGTGTCTGGAGGAATTTTACTATTGTTTTTTCTTCTAGGAAATCAAACAAGAAATTGAGCAAACTAAACCCGAAGTTGAGCAATGCCGCCAAGCTGGCCAAGATTTGATGCAACTGTGTGGAGAACCTGATAAACCTGAGGTTAAGAAGCATATTGAAGATTTGGACTCTGCTTGGGAGAATGTTACATCTCTGTATGCTAAACGTGAACAAAATTTGGTGGATGCTATGGAGAAAGCCATGAATTTCCACGATATTCTCGGAGTATGTATTTAAAATGCTTTTATTTTAGATAAAATTACATTTATATTCTTTTGATATATTTATAAATGAAATGATCGTCCACAGAATATCTTGGAATTTTTGGATTCTGCAGAAGAAAGTTTTGCTGCTTTAGGGCCAGTTGGTTCAGACATTGAAGCTGTGAAAGGCCAAATTCAACAGTTGCAGGTATTGACTTGAAAAAAAATTAATTTGATTTATAAAGAAATTTAAAATGAAGTGTTCCTTTTTTAAAAAGAAACAATAATTTTGTTTATCTCTATTTTGTAATAGATGAAAAATTATTTTATTATAATTTGCAGCAGAATTTAAATAAAAATGAGTTATTAAAACCCCAAATATGGAAGTTAAAACTTTCTTTTAAGTTATTTAATTTATAAATGAAAAAGGCATTTTTGTGTTGAAGTTAATAGTGTGTATTTAATTTATATTATTATTATTTGCAGTTTAGCATCAGATGCAGGGCTCAAAAAACAGCCCGTCCTCGGCGGTCAAAAATTCTCTGCGGACAACAAATTTCTCGAATCCAGCGTCCGCGCGGACGGCCATTTTCCCATTAATGTTCGTGATACATTTTCAGTTTTTGTTATCTTACAAGAGTCTAGCGCCTCACTTCTAAAATGACCCTCTAATCTCGAAATACAGCAACATACTGCGCATGGTGGAATTGATGTTTTCTCTGTCTGGGAGTACTGCAGCGGTTGAAAGGGGCTTTTCAGCAATGAACTTACAAAAAAACACATTACTTACTGGTCTTAAACAAGAAGCGTTAAACGCATTTATGAACATCTACCTAAATGGAAAACCTCTTTCAGATTTCTGTGCAGAAACCTCTGTAAATCATTGGCTTGATTGTGGAACTGGCAAACGTCATATTTGATTCATTTAAAAAACGCAGTACCATCGGATAAATTGACATGATAATTGACAGATAACTTAACCTTTGTTATTTAAATTATTTCATCAAAGAAATAAATTATTTCATAATAGAAATACTAGGTTTTACTATTAGTAACCTAGTATTTCTTTTATTACTGTATAATGTAATCCTAGTATTTGTAATCCTAGTAACTACTAATTCATTGTGCAATTTATATAAATGTTTGTAATAAATAAGAGAAAATTATATTTTTATTTATTTAGAAGCGACGGGTTAGTTTCATATGAGGACGGGTAATATTGTTGGACAAGCCGTCCTCGGGGACGGGTAAAATTTCTGAGTTTTTTCGAGCCCTGATCAGATGATTGCATTAAAATTATCATATTGTGCAACTAAGTGAAGGCATATAAAATCACCATTTCGATTCTCCTTGTGTAAATTAATGTTAAAAAACTGTGGACAATCAAAATATTTAAATTAACAAGCTAGAAATAAAAATTCAAAAGTATTAATATTCACAAAAGAAAGGTATATGAAAATGATCCAATAAATATTAAACACATTGTTCAAGTTCAATTAACATTCACAAGATAACCATAACGACATATCAGCATATATGTAGCTATTGAAACAACCTGTCAATTGATTTGAAAAATTGAGTAAAAATACGTGGAAAAATAGGAGAAAATACAAATTATACCCTAAAAATCTTTAAATCAAGTCAAATACACAGCAACCTATAGTCACTGGGCTATATTTGACTTTCTTTGTTTCTTCTTTTTATGCATGTGTTCTGTAGTATATAAATTTAATCAATTTTTAAATGTGTGGTTTTGAGGTGTACAAATTCAGAAAATAAACTTTCTTGTTGAATTCTATAAGTTCCATACAAAGATAGCGTCAAGTAGTTTTTTTTTCTGTTTTTTTTCTTTCTTACTTACTTTTTTGTTTGTTTGGTGTGTGCAATAGATAAATAAAATATTTCTAGTATTTTTTTAAACTTTGTTTTGTTTTACACAGTGAAAATTGTATAACTTCTCTATTTTTCTGTAAAGCATAGCAGTCAAACATTTTAAAACTTAAATTCATTTTTTAAGCAACTTACAACTTTCTTGGGTGCAAAGTTTTCTTTTGATTTTGATGTAGGAATTCAAGCAAGAAGTTGATCCTCACATGGTTGAAATAGAATCCCTCAACCGACAAGCTCATGAGCTCATGGAAAGAACATCTCCCACTCAAGCTAAAGCTATAAGGGAACCATTGGCGGAAATAAACCGTCGCTGGGATGACTTGCTCAAGGGTATCGTTAACAGACAGGTAAAATAATCATTAAATATATTTTTTGTTCAGTTGGCTTATTTAAATCTATTTTCTTTCATTTTAATTTTTATTTTTTAAGAGGGAGTTGGAGAATGCTTTATTACGCCTTGGTCAATTCCAACATGCATTGGATGAGTTTATGGCATGGATGTCAAAAACAGAAAAAACTCTGGATGACCTTACACCTGTCTTCGGTGATCCTCAAGTTATTGAAGTTGAACTTGCTAAGCACAAAGTAATTTTATATATTCTGTTGTTTGTATCGAAAGCCAAAAATTTAATTGTAATATAACTCCATTTTCTCACTAACAGGAAAATTGTAAATTAACAAAGAAAGACAGATTTTGCCAATGCAGTCAGCTATTGTAAATAGAAAAATATTACAAAATTGTTAATTTGTTGAGCCTTAGGCATAAACTCCCATGAAATGATTCCCTAATTTTGAATTATTTAAACATAAATTTTAAGATTCTTTTACAAATCAAAACATCTTTAAAATTTTTGAAAGAAAATTTTTTTAATATCGAATTTCAGTTTTTCTTTAACTATCGACACGTTTTACCGGAAACTCTTTAAGCTTTTTAAAATGAAAAGAATTACAGTCAGCTTATTAATAAAAGAATTATCAAGACACAAAAATTTTATTTATAACTTATGTTTCATTTTATTAAAGAAAATATTACTTCAGTTATTATGTTTATTCATCAAAAAAAATAATTATTATTCTTTTCTTTTTATTCTAAAATATCTGCCAGAAGATTTAGATTACATTTGTTAAATTTTCCAATAATAAAGCTTATCTTACAATTCTAGTGGAAAAAAAAAATTTTTTTAATAAAATTTTAAATGAAAATTGCTTAAAAGTTAAATGATATGAAAATCTATGAGCATATTGTTTTAAAATTATTTTGGATTTCATTTTAGTTTTTCAAAAAATTTTTTTATTCTATTGGGAGTACAAATTAGTTTGGTCCGTTTTTAAGAGATGGCTCTGCTGTTATGAATGTTTCATAGTGACAGCTGGTTTCGGTGGTTTCAGAGAGGTTAAACATCTGTCAATAATATTCAGTTTATATCGCTTTGAGTTTCATACAAAAGCCCTGCTTTTTACTTTGTTGAATATGTCAAATTTTGTGGTAACTAAGCACCATTTTATGTTTCTGCTTTAATTGGAAGAAAAGTGCAGCTGAAGCACATCAAATGCTTGTAGAAGTTTATGGTGACAATGCTCCAACTGATAAATCATGTAATGAATGGTTTCGACGTTTCAAGAACGAAGAATAGTGTTGTATACTATGAGCTGTACAACCTGGTGATTCCATTACGGGCAATCGGTATAGGCTACAATTGATTCGTTTGAGCCGTACATTGCGAGAAAAACGGCCGGAATACGAGCAAACACATGGCAATGTTATTCTTCTGCATAATAACGGTCAGCCTGATGTCGCGAAAGTCGTAAAAAATTATTTAGAACCGCTCAAGAGGTATATTTTACCACACCAGCTGTATTCTCTGGTCATTGCTCTTTCTGATTACTGGTTGTTCCTACGGATGCTGCACGATTTGACAGATCACCAGTTCACCTCTTTCGCAGAAATCAAAAATTGGCTCCTAACTTGGATCGCCTCAAAAGACGAAACATTTTTTCCAGATGGAATTCAAAAATTGCCTGAGAGGTGGGAAAAAGTAGTAGCCAGCGATGGACAATACTTTGATTAATGTGTTCATTCCTTTTGTTTTGAAAAAAATGCATTTTTGATCACAAAAAAACAGACTGAACTAATTTGTACTCTCAATATAATCTATATCCTGTTCGATTTTCCTGATGTGCACATAATATACTCAGATTGTTTAGTCTAGAATTGATAATATTACGTATTGTCATGATATATTCGCAGTGTGATATATGGAAGTTGAGTAAATGTTATGTTTAAATTTTAATGTACAACAATTTAGGTATTGATGAATGATATTCAAGCTCATCAAACTAGTGTAGACACTCTCAATTCGGCTGGTAGGCAGTTAATTGAAGCTAACCGTGGTAGTGAAGATGCCAGCGTCACTCAGAGCAAATTGAACAAGTTAAATAAGAGATGGCAATTCTTACAAGACAAAGCTGCTCAACGACAGAGGGAGTTGGAAGAAGCGTTACACGAGGTTGGGGTTTAAAAACTCTCTGAGTCTTGACATTATTCATTAAAAGCTGTTTTTTTTTTTACACATCTATTTTAATTTTCAGGCTCAAATTTTCAACCAAGAGATCCAAGATTTATTGATGTGGCTTAGTGATATTGATAGTCAGTTAGTATCTTCTAAACCAGTGGGTGGTCTACCAGAAACAGCTAGAGAACAACTTAATAGATTTATGGTACAACAATTATTTAATAAAATATTATTCTTTTTGCTGCTAAATTTACTAATTATTTACTACACCTATTTATGAAATTGTATCTATTTTATATGCATTAAAAAAATTATAGCAAATTTGGAATTCTTCAGGAGAGTGTTTTGCTTTCCATCTGAGAAATAATCTGTCCTGTATTTGTGCTGTTATCTAGTGGAAATTCTGCTAATTTATAATCACCTGATAATAATACTTAGAAACAGTTTGATGTGATTACATCACGTTTTGAGAAAATAAAATTTTAACACTAGATTATCCCAATCTCTTCTAAACCAACTAATGAATATTTGCATTTTTCTTTTCAGATTTAAAAATAAAGTTGTATACTTGTCAGTTAATCCAGACTTTCAGAACCGTTTTTATAATTAAAATTTTGTAAAAGACCCATTTTGACAATCAACTATTTTGTTAGGAGTTCTTTTTTCTGATAAAACGTTTTGTGAAGAACTCGAATTTCGCCTAGAAATTTGAGTCCATTAACAGAATTGATGATGCTAATAATGAGTTGATTAATTTCTGATAATAGATTATACTAATAATTAGATAACCTGTGATACTAATTAATTTCTTTGTTGTATTCTTAGTTAACTAAGGACTTAATGATTCATCATCATTAAGACAAATATATTTTAGTTTTTGCATATCTTAAAAATATTGAAGTTTAAATGAGATCTTTTTTTGTGCAGGAACTTTATAATGACCTAGATAACAATAAACACAAAATAGATTCGGTGATGCAACAAGGTCAAGATTACCTGAAGCGTTCAAATGAAGGGGCAGCTGGTAATTTGCAGCATAACCTTAAAACTCTCAAACAACGCTGGGAAAATGTACTCAATAGAGCCAACGATAGAAAAGTAAGATTTATTTTGATTATATCACTTGTTAAGAGATTCCACATTTAACAAGAATGTTTCTTTGGTTCTCTTTTAGAGAGCAGTTTTTTCTTGTATATAATGAGGGGGAAAAATTTGGGAGCATGAAATCTTCAAATCAATAGTTTAAAATGATTATTTTGAAATATGTTTTGATGCCATTTAGTGCTAGGTTTATAAACTAAAATACTAGTTGAATCAATTTTCAAAATAAAGAACAACAGTTGCTGCCTTAAGAGAAAGGAGACATAAAGCCAGCCCTCATTTTCAAAAGAAAAAAATTTGAGTGGTTTTGTTAGAGTGGTTGCAGGAGCATTTCCAGTTTCAGAGTGTTGAATGCTCATTTTGGGGGTAAAAACCATGAAACTTTTAAATAAGAAAGTGACGCAATATTCAATTATGATATGTAAAATGATGAAATTTTTGTTACCTTGATGCTTCTATGTTTTTGTTTTTTTGTTTTTTTTTCATGAAAAGTTTAAATCTGGATTTAGCGCTCATTTTTCTGTTTCCCGAGTTCCTCATTATGTGCAGGTCTTACTGTATATAGATTTTATTTTTTGATTATAAGCTGTGCTGTCTTTTAAAAAAATTATTTTAAATGTCTTCTCAGTTAAAACTAACAATTATTTAGATTTATCTTTGTAGAAGGGGTATTTAGTTTGCAATTTTTCTAAATAGCATATAATGTGTGCTAAGCCATTGTTTAGTAAAAAAAAAAAGGAAATTTGTGAAACTAACACTCATACCTGCCAACTTCTAATCCCTTCCATTATGATTTTTCCAAGTGGTAGTAAAATGGAATTAAAATTTCAATTGTAAGCAAATAAAATAAGTTGTATTTGATAAAACATCAGCTGACAGTCATGATAGTAACACTTATTAATATATAAGCTTAATTTTTTTAAGAATAGTGGTGATCAAAATCATTTAAAAATTAAGTTTTTAATAGAAAATATAGTATATATTTACTACCACTTTAAATGTGAAAATAAAATTTTACGCCAAATGCGTAAAAGTTGGCAGGTATGAACACTTTTATCTTTTTTTTCTTTTCCAGTCCATTTTTTAAACATGGCTTTCTAATATCTTAGTACATTATTATAAGTTTTAAACCGTATAAAATGTTTTTGTAAATATGATAAACATTTGAAAATTATATGTTCAAATCATATGTTGATTTTTACAGAAGTGTAATTTTTGTGCTTTTTCATGACCTACATCTATCTTAGTCTTGTATGCAATCAGGGGTGATTGTATTTCAGGGATACCCCCTGAATTACAGATTTTTTGTATCATTCTTCCAAGTCTAAAAACTAGAAGCAGGACATGCGATTTTTGTACAAATATCGCAGAATTCCGCGTATCTCGAAGACCATCCACAAATCAAAAACTTAGAATCCGACAAAATTTTGAAGCTTTTTCTAAATTCCGTTAACAAGACATTAGCATACATTCTTTCACCAATTATGGGAAGAATTGCGTCCTACATGATTCTTTCGCCAGTTTGATTTTTTAGGCAGTCTTTTGCCTTTTTGAATATTTGGAACTGTGTCCAAATCTGCTAATATTACGATTCTTATTTATACGATTTTAATATTAAGCATTGATTTTCGTATTTATGCTTTTTTAAAACAAAATATTGCGATTCGTGTTCAAGCGAGTTTAAAAACCCAATGCCGTGATTTAAAAAATATACATTGGGATTCATATTCACGCGATCTAATAATTATGTACTGTGATTCGTATTTGCACGCTTTAAAAATTTAATATCGCGATTCATATTCATGTGTTTTTAAAATCCAATATAGCAATTCATATTCACGTGATTTTAAAGTCCAATATCGCGATTCATATTTATGCGATTTTAAAATGCAATAACGCAATTTTCAAATCCAATGACGCGATTCTAAAATCCAATATCACGATTCTTATGAGAAGTAAGTTTTTTTTTTAATTAGTTACCCTAAAGGTGTGCAGGGATCTGTCCAGACATTTTGTGAAAGGTCCGTTTTTGTAAAATTGTGAAAAAATTACTCGTAATTTGTGAGTATGAAATAAACGTTAAGTCGCATTCTTTCAAGCAGGGTCCTGCTTTTGTGAATTTGGGCAAATGGGGTCCTGTTATTGCAAAAAACGTTTTCAATGAGTTTTAGAATTGTAAAAATATACAAGACAATGCTCAACACTGTAAAATTATAATTTTGAAAAAATAAATTTTCAAAAATAAACAGCAATTGCTGNGGGGTCCTGTTATTGCAAAAAACGTTTTCAATGAGTTTTAGAATTGTAAAAATATACAAGACAATGCTCAACACTGTAAAATTATAATTTTGAAGAATTAAATTTTCAAAAATAAACAGCAATTGCTGCTACTAAATTAGAGATGCAACATACAGATATTTGGTATTTAGCCTATACTGCTGATCGCTGAATATTCATTTCGGACAAATAAAGGAACTGCCGAAAACAAAACTTAGTTCGTTTGCATCTTATTCGATTTACAAAACAATAATGAAGATAAACACATTTGTGAAGGGTCCGATTAAAAAATAAATTATTATGTGAAGGGTCCGTTAACGGACACAAATTTCTTTTAAACAGACCCTTGGTGTGATATTATGCAGTGGTAGATAATTTAATTATAAATGTTAGTTCAAAAGTTATGTTAAATGTGAAACATGTATGGTATACAAATTGATATCGATTTTTTGCACCTAAAATTTTCGGGGATTTCACTCTGTGCCAAAATTATTCCTGTGTATTGTTATGTGATTTTAATTTAAAATAGAAATAATTTATCTTGCAAAATTATGTTTTACGAATTTTGTTTTGTTATTCAGATTAAATTGGAGATTGCACTCAGAGAAGCAACAGAATTCCATGGAGCCTTACAAGATTTTGTTGAATGGCTCACAAATGCTGAAAAATTCCTTACTAGTCTGAAGCCAGTAAGCAGAGTAATGGATGTCGTACTCGAACAAATCGAAGATCACAAAGTAAGCAAACATTTCCATGTTTATCAAAAACATGTTTTCTAACATGCTTGAGAAAAGTTAATTTTCACACATTCCTTAACAGGCTTTCCAAAAAGAAGTCAGTGCTCATCGAGAAGTGATGCTCAACTTAGACAAAAAAGGAACACACTTGAAATATTTCAGTCAGAAGCAAGATGTCATTCTAATTAAGAACTTACTGATCAGTGTTCAACATAGATGGGAAAGAGTTGTTTCAAAAGCTGCGGAAAGAACCAGAGCTTTAGACCATGGATACAAAGAAGCAAAGGAAGTATGTATTTAATTATACTATTTTTTAGTATTTAAACATTCTTTTTAAATGTGTATTCTATTAGCTATTGTTGAGAAGTCTGGTTTTATACCATTGGTGCCATTTATAAATTCTACATTTGTGTTGAATGATTTGTTAATAGTTAAAACAATCTCTCGCTATCAATTTACCAATTGATTCTTTCTAGTTTCATGATGCTTGGTCAGATCTCAGTCATTGGCTGGATGATGCGGAGAAACAACTGGATGTACTTACCCACGTTGGTAATGATCCTGAGAAGATAAAGCAAATGTTAGCTAAGCATAAAGAATTTCAGCGAACTCTTGGCTCAAAGCAACCCTATTTTGATGGAACCATGAAACTTGGTAGAAATCTCAAAGAAAAATGTCCTAAAGTAGATGTGCCCGTTTTGCAGGATATGATGGATGATCTGAAGAATAAGTGGAATAATGTCTGTGCCAAATCTGTTGATAAGTGAGTAGTCTCTTTACTGTGTGCATCTTATTCATTGAAGATATATGTTTTGCAGATACTCAAGAAGCATTTTTTTTTTTACAATTATGTAATTATTCAATGTGTTTAAATAAGAGTTGGGTAGGGGCTGTTTATAAATAATGTTTTACTCCCCCTTGCTATGAAGTGTCACACTCCTTTGTCACGTACCGTGCTTATATTTCATAAATATATATTTGCAGCTTAGAAATAAAGCACCCTGTTATAAAATCATATTCAAAATTTTGTTTTTCTCTGTGTTTTAATCATATTTATGAGTATAACAATAATAATGATTAATAATATGAAAATAATTAGGATGCATAAATATTTTTAATTTATTGAAAATGTCACAAACCTTCTACTACACCAAACATGGCATCATTTATGAAGACTGAATCACCAAAATTTCGCAAATTAATCATCATTTTGATGCTGTATTAACCCAACAATTTTATGTTTTTTTTTCCGTTCTTGAAAAATTCGGACACTTAATCAAACACAAAATTCTGTGTCAAATATTGATTGTTTTATTTCGAATGTTGATTGTTATGATCTCTGCTGTTTTCAGGCAACGAAAACTGGAAGAAGCTCTCCTGTTCTCTGGTCAATTTAAAGATGCTGTTCAAGCTCTCATCGATTGGTTAGAAAAAGCTAAAAAAACTTTATCTGAAAACCAGCTCTTGCATGGAGATCTAGACACTGTCATGGCTCTTGTGGATCAACATAAAGTAATTTCTTTTTTAATCTCACATTTACAATGATTCTTGATGATTCTCAATGATTGTGCTAAATTTAGACAAAAGTTTTTATTTGGGAAATGCTTGTAATTGAGGGAATTGTGTGGGAAGAATTTTTTTTCTTTCCTAGAATAAACATGAGAGAAGGGAAAAGTAAAAAATAAACTTGATCTACACTGAACCTCAAGATAAAAAAAAAAAGAGCCCCTTAAATTTTAAGTAAAAAAACCATATTGCAATGAGACTCTCACATGGATTAATTGGTGCAGTTCCACACAAAGCAAATGAGTCAAAAAGTAAATTTGTGCTTCAAAATTGTTATCTTGTTATGTTAAAAATATTATCATTTATTATATATTTTAAAAACTGAGAAAAAATTCGAAGCTGCCAAAAAAGCAATTGAAATAGGATTTGGATAGACCCTGAATCGAATTTCTAATTGTAAAATGAATGCAACCCAAGACAGAAATTGTTTAGTAATGAATGAATTCAATCTAAATAATTTCATTTCTTAATTTTAGTCTTTCCAAGATGAATTAAAGAGTAGAGCAAACAATCTGGAATCAGTACGAAGAACAGCCAGGGAATTGTTAGAAACTGCCAGTGAAGAGGATGCCAATCATATTCGAGAACAGTTGTCACAACTTGATCAAATGTGGATTGATGTTGCCAATCTGGCAGAAGAAAAACAAAGAAAGCTTGATGAAGCCCTTCACGAAGTATGCATTTGTATTTACAATATATTTTTCATAATATCTATAGAATTGATAGTTTCTTAACAGATAAGGGAGTATTCATTTAAGACTCTGTTGAAAAAAAAAAATTTCTTCTCTTAATTCAATGCCAAGATTATTTTAATGCAGTATATAATGTGTATTAAGTATAGACAGTTTCAATTTATTATTATTGTATTAATGGAGCAAACTTTTTCAGATTCGAAAAAAACATCATACAGTGTGTAACATTGTAATGTATTTTTGATATATGTATAACATAATGTATGTCTCATCTAGCTGTTCTTAACAGCTATAAAGAATAAAATCAAATAGGCTCAAAATTAATTAATATTTTAGCTCATAATCATTTTTATGAAATAGATTTAACTAAAAATCCATATTTTATGCTGAAAATATTTCATTGTTAGCTTGTATTGTGTCTTATAATTTGCATGCAAAATACAATTTTAAATTTTCATGTTAATTACTGTCACTTGTGTTGGGAATATTAATATATGCTTTTTAAGTGAAGAACAATTGTTTGATATTAAGTAATTTAAATTGAAGTTAAAGGAAAAAAATCTTAAATCACCTTCTATTTATTAACATTCTCAGAAAACTAATTATATCTAATAGAATAAACATGTTTTCTTAGATATTTTTAATGCATGTGAATACATTTATTTAAGGCTGAAAGACTGCATAAAGCTGTCCATATGTTACTTGAGTGGTTGTCAGATGCAGAAATGAAGCTTAGATATTCTGGTCCCTTGCCAGATGATGAAGAAACTACCAAACAACAAATAGCTGATCATGAAAACTTCATGAGAGAGATGATTGAACAGGAAGTGAACAAAGATACCACCATCGCCCATGCTCAAGAAATACTGAAAAAGTGCCACCCAGATGGTGTGTCGGTTATTCGCCATTGGATAACCATCATTCAATCACGATGGGAAGAGGTCAGTTTACATCTGTTTTTATATGCATGTACATAGTTTCGATGACAACGAAAATTTCTGCTTAGTAGTGTACTATATTTTATTTTGAATAATATTGAGTATATTTTATTTGAGTAACATTATTCATTTTCATTTGATCTCACTAACTTTGATTTAACTTTTTATTTTTACTTTGATTTATGTTGTAATTTTTTTCTCCCAGCTTCTCCTGAATTAAGAGATAAAAATTCTTAGACTTTTTTTTAAATAAAAATAATTTATTTTCATCAGATCTTACAAATATAAAAAGTATTGAAGCTTTTATGACAGTACTTAAATGTATTTTATGAAAAGTTGTAAGATATAGTGATAGAAACCCAAATATGTTAACATTTAAATGGAAAGTATAAAGTTAAAATTTATTGATTTAAGAAACTCATATTTTTTAGTTTTTTAAGTCTCTTTTAGATTTTTAAGCAATTCTATACTACTTATAGCAAGCACACTTGTAAAAAAAAAAAATTTGTTTTTTTAAAAAAATTGCAATTTTTCAGTTTTTATTATAACATTATACTCTATAACAAAACTTGAAATTTTAAAAGTATCTCTATGTTAAAGTTATCTTTGAATTGTAATCTTAGCATAATAACTTTAAATGGATGTTATTAATGAAGAAGTTATTATGTAAGGTATCATTGTGGGCCAAACAGCGAGAACAGCGTCTCAATGATCACCTGAGATCCCTGAGAGACATTCTTGATCTTTTGGAAGAACTTTTGAACTGGTTGATCAGTGCAGAAAATACTCTCACTACACTAGAAGCAGAACCATTACCAGATGAAATTCCTGTTCTTGAACAACTCATAGCAGACCACCAAGTAATTAAACTTTATTTTATAAAGATACACCCTTTTCAGCATTTTTAACTGACTTCATTTTTAACAAAATTTGGTAGAAATTTAAAGATTACTATATTTGTCATTTTGTAGTCCAATTTTGTTTGACAGTTAAATGTTATTTATTAAATATTTAAGCATTTTAATATTAAATATTCATTATATTGCATTCAAGTGTTTTAAATTAGAGGAGCAATTTAATTTCCCCTCTTTAATGATCATTTCTGTGACAAAATTGGTTCTTTTAAAGTAATTTAAATTTTGCACTTCTTTCAAATAAAATCAATTATATTTAAACTATATCAATTTTGTTTGTTAGGTATTCATGGATGACATGACCAAACGACAACCTGATGTTGAGCGGGTGACCAAAGCTTTCCAATCTAAACGCCAACCACCTCAACAACAGCAAAGTCATCCAGGAAAAGACAAAGGTCGTGAAAGGCATGAATCGGCACACGATCGCAAATCTGGAAGAAGTACTCCCTCAATACCCAAAACACCTGCGTATGAGCATTATACACTTCACATAGTAGAATCTTCATTATCCAAATCACATTTTTATTTAAACCGTAGTTAATTCTAAAAATAAAAAAAAATTTCAGCTCTCATAAATCAGCCTAATTGGAATTATATATATATATATATATATATATATATATATAATGGTCACCTAAATCAATTTTAAATTGCCAATTGCCACTAGCATCAAAAGTATTAATAAAGTGCGCAAAAAAATAAACCTACGCCTGAATAACTTTTGATATAATGACGGAATCTTCACGTTCAAATTTGAATCAAATTTTAACTATTCAACTTCTTAAAAACCATTTGACCGATTTTGCTCAAATTTCATATTTTGCCATGTAAAATTACATACATTAAAATGCTTGCAAAAAATTTTATGCCTTACAAATAAAAGAAATTTTCGAGATCATTAAATATAATTATAAAATTAATTTTATAATTGTGTACAAAGATTTTTCGATTCACTTAAGAAAATCTCGAGATATGCGAAAAATAAAATTAACATTAAGGGGTCCAAACTTTGTACCACTCTCCTGACCGAACTATTGGGACCATATTTCCTATTGCGCATAGCCCCTATATTTAAGAGATCAGAAAATCGAATCTGCCAAAAAAAGAGGTATGTTTATTCAGAGAAAGTACGTTTTTGTGTCCAATTTGGTAACTTAAAATATCGTCTATAAGTTGCTTAAAATTTCGTCTGAAGTCTCTCACTTGAACTATTAAGATTAAGCTCTAAAACGTGAAGATGCAATCATTGGATTGAAGTTATTCAAGGTGGTCAATTTTTTTTCACACACTGTACACTAACTGATATCCGAACAAAGTCTCGATAATAAATTTTACTACAGCAACACTGAAATAATAGAAAATGAGACTCTCTGGTTTATAAAGTAAATGCCTCTACACATGAGGCATACAAGATTTTAAAAAAAAAGACTCCTAGTACTGCATGACTATATATAATTGAATATTTTGTGTTAGTAAAAAGTAAACGTTTTTTGTTGGTTTTTAAAAATAATCTGTTTTACAGCATATTATAGTAGTTTTGTAAAGCTATTTTCATTGTGAAAATAAATTTTTAAAGAAACCACATTACCTTAAATAATCTTTCTTATCCAAATATTTTACTCGTAGCAGCTTTGGATAATCGAGATCCTACTGTATTTTCATAGAAAAATTAAGGTTTTTATAATGTATTAACTTTTGATTAAAATTGCTTCTTTCCTCTAGAAACCGTCAAGGTTTTGAACCTGAAATTAAAAATCCTAGAGCTAGGGAGCTTGTAGACAGGTGGAGAAATGTCTGGCTTCTAGCTATGGAGCGACAGCGCAGACTTCAAGATAAACTGAACTATCTTAAAGAGGTATTTTTAAGAAAATAGTAAAATTAAACACAGACTAAGCTTTATATAAAAATAAATAATTACATTAATTGTGTTTTTTACTTTCAGCTGGAAAGAATAAAGAACTTTGATTTTGATGAATGGCGTAAAAAGGTATATAAATATTTATTGTAAAAGATTATAATTATTCATAACTATAAGATAGTTTGAAAAGATTTGAATTCAAATGAAAATTAGCACATTTTTCATGTATATATATGTATAAAAAAATTTAAAAAGAAGCATTTATTAATCAATAATGTATTTTCTATCATTTGTTTAGGCACAAATTTTTTTTTTTTTTCATTTTAGATCTGGCATAAAGTTTTGCATTCATTATAAACTTTTTTGTTTAAGGTCTAAAAAAATTTTAATCAAAATTGAAAGCTGTATTCTAGAAGTAAATCCTGTATTTTTAGTTTTCAGCTTATATTTATGTATATTTTGTAATAGCTTTCTAAGATTTCGAAATTTTGTTTGTGAAAATTAAAACTGATGTTTTGTTTTAATGATAATTTTGTTTCATTTTCAGTTCCTGGCATGGATGAATAACAAAAAATCCAGAGTAATGGATTTGTTCCGAAAAATTGATAAAGATAATGACGGAAAAGTAACTCAAGAAGAATTTATTGAAGGCATTCTGAAATCTAGTAAGTCTGGACTATTTATTTTTATAAATATCTTACTTTTACAAAAATATGTGTTAAAAATTTAAATTTAAAAACTGCATTTTAAAAATTTTAAAAGTAATATTTGTCATAATTTTATTAAATATTTCAAATTTAAACTTGTATTAGAAGATTTAGCTTGTATTAAAATATGTGTCACTATTATTAGTTTTTTCCCTTAAAAAGTGGGATGAATTTAGACTTTGTCTACCAAAACAAAAATAGAGTACTAAGGAAAACTTATAACTTTCTGAACTAGTTTATTGCTTGCTGGATGACTAAAAATAATTTCTCATTATGTATGTTTTACCTTCACATCAAACATATCAGCATTGACTATGTAGTTTTCTTGCATATCCAACCATCTTAAAATAACACCAAATTGAGTAGTAAATTAAAAAAAAATTATTTCATGAAGAGTATATAAAAACTTCTAAGTAATTTAAATACAATTCTCAAAATTAATGAATGTTTTACTCAAAACTTACTTCTAAAAATCTCTATGCATTTTCAGAATTCCCAACTAGTCGCTTAGAAATGGAAAGGGTGGCTGAAATATTTGATCGCAATGGTGATGGCTTCATTGACCACAAAGAATACATAGATACTCTTCGACCTGATCGAGAAGTACGATTTCTTAAAAGTATCGATCAAACATTTTCACATCTTTTATTTGATTTACTCTTCAACACACTTTTTTATCTCTTTTTACGCAGAAGGGACCACTGACAGAAGCTGAAAAAATACAAGATGAAGTTCAACGACAAGTTGCTGAATGTACATGTGCTCAACGATTCAAAGTATATCAAGTTGGTGAAGGCAAATACAGGGTATGTGTGATTCAGTCAAAACTGAAAAGTTCAATTTTAATGTTATGGGTTGTTTTTGTTTTTTTTAATCACTTCTCTGACTATCCAAAGTTATCTTGGCTTCATCTGTATTACAGTAACTATTACCCAAAATAATTCCATCATAGCCGAAATTATCGATACGGTTTGTTTTATCTAATTTTTATTCAGCAGAAAACAAAACAGTATTTTGATTAGTAAATTTTATTTGAGAGCTTTTAATTTCAGGGCAGAACATGTGTTTTGCCCGATCAGATGCTGGAGACGTAAGGATAGAAAAAAAAGATATCAAAACTAATGCAGATATTTTTAAGACGATGGTAGTGTATCTACCACTACAAAAATATAATTCACTAGTATATAACACATGTTAACTCGATTTTATGTTCATCCATGAAGGTTGAGATTGTCTATAACTACTCCTCACCCCACAGAATAGAATGGAAGTGATTTCGGATGACGAGTGATTCCTGAGATTTCCCAAACTGATGCTGAACTGGCGATAAAATAAAGTGATTTCTTACTTTAAAAAAATAATACATTTTCAACTTTAAACATGGATGTTATTTTTCAGTTCTTTTTATATAATAATATAAAAAATGGCAAGTGAAGCAGTTACAATTTGTTAGTTTTAATAAATTTAATTTAATTACAAAAAAAATTTGATTTGTTAACAGCTTCTTTAATTTATATGCAATTTTATATACCATTGGAGAATACAGATTGAAGACTGTTATGTTTAAAAAGATGAATTAATATTATTTATTTTTACTTGTGATGTATTTCTTTTTGTTACCTTCAACAGTCTATATCTTTTTTGTTATTATGATAATAGTTTACTAGAATTTTGTATCCAGTCTTATGGATAGTTATCATACTATATGGTTACGTAGTGTTGTAATCATCTTTACAAGTAAATTCAAAATTTTAAAAAAAATCTTTGTACTGAATATTTTAAAGAATTTTTAATTTGTTGAAATAAAAAGTTGAAACTTTTGCAATCAAATGTTGATATTATTTTTCTTAAAATTTTTGAATATTTTCTAGTTTGGTGAGTCTCAAAAGTTGCGGTTAGTGCGAATTTTACGCAGTACTGTAATGGTAAGAGTTGGAGGAGGATGGGTAGCGTTAGATGAATTTTTGGTAAAGAATGATCCCTGCAGAGGTAAGCTTTATGTCAAGTATCTGCATACAATATTATATTATTACAGCAAATATTGGAATCTCAACTACGCCAAAATAATTCTACTTATTTACCTCTGAACCACACTCCTCTTCACTGGAAAAGAATATTATTACCTTTGTTACTTAAAAAGTTGCTGTTATAAATGAATGTTTGCCTTATATTCATGGTTAAAAATAAATTATTTCTAGTTATTATTAACCCTCCCCGTACGGCTCTCGCAATTTGAGCTGGGTATCAGTTTCATCCCAGACTGCGGGTCACGTGAATATCGCGGGCTAAGAATTTTCCCCCCTTGTTTCAATACTGATCCCGCTATTTCCCGGTGTAGGTTAAAAAAATATCATTTGATGCTTATTTTCGCTGCCACTAGAGGGTTCAGATTTTTTTCTTCTCTTGCTTGATTTTTTCTCGTTCGTATTTGTGAGTTGCATATTTTGTTTTTCTTTCTCGCAATAAGCATTTATGAAAGATATGGATTTGCCGAGTTATATGGGAATAACAGACGAAAATATCTTGATTATGAAGATAGTGATTAGGTTATTCCATAAATCTGAGCTTTTATTTTATATTTTCTGTTTCATTACAGAATTTCTGCAACATTTTTTGAGATAAAATATTTAAAAATTATATTCTCCTGAAAATAAAAATATCGCATGAATTTTTTCACTTATAAACCCTGCCTGTTGAAATAGTATTACACTGAATAGTATAATGGTAGTATTATATATTTTTTGAAAACGTCAAGGCCAATAAATTCTTGTATTATTTTAAAACAACCGATAAAGATGTGAATTGTAACATATGTAGATAAAGAAAATCTCCCCAGAAATGGAAAGTATAAAAACTGAGCCATACACTGAGGGTTAAATATGTGAACCATAACTAAATTCAACATTTTTAGAACCCTAATAAAACTTGCTTTAGATATGAACAGTTATTTAGATAATTACCAAAACTAGCATTCTAGATCTTTCTCTTTTTTTTTGGGTAAAAATTGTTTCAATAAAAATTATTAGAAGGCACAAAGTTCCAGTGAGGAGGAATGTTAAATTCAAAAAGAGAATTAAAAGCTTTGACTGAAAGTGGGAAGAAATAAAAAGTTTTGCTTTTTTAGCATGCAATTACTGCACTCATTTATTTATTTTTTTTATCACTTTATTTTTTATACTTTTTCAGAGAAATGCTGAAACCCTTATTTACTTGTTACTCATTTTTTAGCTCTTATTTATATCTTGCTAGCCTAGTTTAACTTTCTATGGTGTACTTTTATTTAGAATATGTGTTTATGTGAAATTAATTATTCTATTTGCAACCTATTTTAAATGAGATTATAGCCCTTCTTATATAAAAGGTTCATATATGGTAAAATATAAAGGTCTATAGGTTTATATAAAATGAATGAAATTAGCGAAATTTAACTTATTATCCTTTTGACCTCACATTTTTTAATTTTAATATTTGTTGCATTCAAACTAATTTTCGACATTTCACAGAAAAGTTGTTAGTATCCAAACCATTTCTTCAACTTCTGAGTATTTTTAAGAATGAGTATTATTTTTATTCGTATTTCATTGTCTCAGCAGTATTATTTTCTGGGCACTTTTAAATTTTTAGATTATTTAAATTATATTTTCTAACTGTAATGTTCAAAGGAAATGTTTTTAAAAATCGAGCTAGAAAATTAAAGATTAACTGTAAATAAATCTACGTTGGGTGGATTTAAAAAGTTTGCTATAATTATTTACTTTAAACTATATTGATAATTATGAAGATAGTTAGATACATATAATTAATTTTTTAAGTTATACTCTAAGTTACATTATAAAATGAATTGAAATACAAAAAGTTAAGTATACCATTAGAAAATCTATATATTTTATGTGTGTATGTTTTACCCATTAGAATAAATGTGTAAATCTTGTAGAGCATCAACACTATGCACTTTTTGAATATTTATTTCAGTTATTTGTTTTTTTTTTATGTTGTGCATGTTTGCATGAATTTAGTTGCTTTCTTATTTAGCCAAAGGTAGAACGAATCTTGAACTGAGAGAACAATTCATACTGGCAGAAGGTGTTAGTCAGTCACTTCAACCTTTTAAACCTAAAGCCAGTCCCAATTCATCACAGTCTTCCCAAAGTGCATCCTTTAATCGATTGCCTGCAACGGGTCCCATAACAAAGGTTTGTTCATACTAATCCTATACAAGCTATAAATATTTAATCTGAAATAACCATACAATCACTTCATGAACAGTTTAGTGGTTCACTTTTTTTGTCTAAAAATATCTTGCCATTAAAAGGGCTTTAAAACAAACAAATAGCATGTATGTTTTAAAAGTTGCTAAACTTTTTTTTAAAAAAATAACCAATTTGGTGATACTTAGCTAGAAGTGAACAAAATCGATGAATAATTTTCAATGAATGAGCCCAGTACGGGAATAACTTCTTTAATGTTAATAATTTTTTAAAAATTAGGTCATAAATGCTTTTTATTTTCACAAACTGCAGTTTCTCTTTATAGTATGCCATTTAGTTTAAAGAACATTGTCTAATGATACGCTAAAATGGACCTGAAAGTCATGAATAACTGCTAAAAACTCACACTAGTTAAAAAAATATCCTATTATACCTAAATAAACGTTATTTCCTTTAAAAAAAAAAAGGCTTTCAAAAGACAGCTTAAATTCTTAATTCAACGATTTGCCCTCAACAAAACACTATACAGCCAGTGCATTAACAGTTTCTCAGTATAGTTATTGCCTGTCAAAACTAGTATAAAGGAAGGAGTTTATATTATAATGTTTTTAATTTGGCCTAATTTTAAATTATGGAGCTCTTAACGATGGTTACACTCATCTTGTTCTTCAATTTTGCCTACAGAATGTAAAATCGAATCTTTTAAAGCTCTACTCATAAAAGGTAAATTTGAAATGGTTAGTTTTATTGTTTATTTAATGAATCAAAATATTTATTTAATGAATGAATATTATTTTTTAATGAAATAATAAAAGCTTTTTTTTGTACTTTATACTTTAATCAATGTTTATTTGCACAATTTTTGCAATTTGAGTTAATTTTTGGTTTTTAATTTTCTTTCCTTCGATTTCCACTTTTGCATCTGTTACTTGAATCTCTGTATGAATTGTTTTTCTGAAATATGTATCAACGGCCTTAAAGCCTTTTAAATTCATAGCTCTGTGCTGTTATCATGATTGGTTTGCCACTTTTCAGAATACGTGTGAGTAATATTTCTTTACAACGATTGTAAAAGCTTTGCACTGAATTAGCTGAAAGCATAAAGCTTCCCCTTCCCTAAATAGAATTTCTTTTTTTTTAATCCTTGTGCAAATATTCATAGTGCAGATTTCTTTTTGTAATTTTCTCTCTTAAAACTCTGATTCATAAAATTAAAAATTGAATAATTTAGTGTTATCTTTGTAAAATTCGCATTTTTGTTTGTTATGAACTTCAAAATGACCTTTATTTCAAAGTTCAAAACTTACTAAACTTCAAAATATGAATAGTCTTTGGAAGAATATATTTATTTTAAATACCACTTTTTAAAGATGGCTATCAATTAGTTTAGCTAATTTCCAAATGTTATTAATTTCATATTATCTATTTGCGTATTTTACGTTTAAAAAAAAAAAGAAATTTATACAGTGAAACTTCATGTTGCAGACACTCCTGCAAAATGGACAGTTCTCATTTCGGAAATATTTTTAATTCTCTGTGAATCTATGAATAAACCCTCTCTTGTAATCGGACACAGACTGTCATTTGTACTCCAAAATGTTATTTTCAATGTGTTCAAACCGGACACCACCTTTTCTAAAGTTGAAAATAAAACTACTTCTATGTTAAATTCTAATTTATATATATATTTTCTTCTTGACAACACAGATGACCCCACAAGTTGAAATTAAATGACTTCTCTTTAATTTATTTAATCTTCCAATCAGTTTGACACCTGTACTTAACACAGTTGGGTAAAAAATATAGAACAGAAATATAATCATGTAGGAGTTCATAAAGATTTATTCTGACTTTTGACAAAAGATCGATTGTGAATAAAACTGGTGCCTTTTTACTTGTCACGTTTTCTATCAAGTGTTGATAAGAAACATGATACAAATTCTGATGATCCAGTTTCTGAATAAACAAATTTGTTTTGCTTGACTGGTGAAAGTGTTATCATTTAGTAAGCATTACGCAGAGTATGGAATGAATAATAATGATTAAAATAGGTTCGCAAATAATGACATTGAGAGCGATAATGATGAAACTAATGCTTTTCTGAAAAGGAACCAAAAAGAAAACTTTGCATGATAATGAAACTTGTATTGAGGAACTGATACTTTTTGTCTATCTGAAAATGATGAAATGGGTGTAAAAATTCTAAATGATTCATAAAGATACGGCAAATCGCTTCGATCACATCTTTCTTTTCAACTGAATAAATTTAAAACAAAGGCATGTAAATGTATCAAATTTCTTGTTATTTATTATAAGTTTATTGTAAATTATCATTGTTTTATTAAAATTAAATTAATATCAATGTAAATAGTTATTATAGATTATTTGAATATCATTGCAATCATTCTAAAAACAATTTATTTCTTTAGCTATTAGTGTATCCTTTCCCATAAACAGACAAAATGTTTGGCCCCAAGAGTGTCAGCTTAACTGAGGTTTCACTATATTTTAAAACTTTGTATAAAGATCTATATTCTACAATTTTTATCGTTAGTGCCTCAATGATAGAAAAATAGTGTTAAGTAGAGCATGTTTATCGATCCTCTATCTGCAGATATCTTTTTTGAATGCTTGTTATTTTGTTTGTGATGCTTATTTATTCAAAAATAATCATTTTGCAAACTTTTATTTATTCATTGCTCTAGTTGCATCTCTAAAACCTTTTAAGTTATTATTTCCTCTTATATCTCTAAAACCTTTTAAGTTTATTATTTCCCCTTTCGTTTGGAACGTCACAATTTGTCTGAAGCTGTCCAGTTGTTATTCAATAACCTCTCTCCTTCATTTGCATGCGAGTGACTGCACTTACCAGCTTTTTTTTTTAACATTTCCTTGAACGAAAAATAATAACTTTTGAGATCATTCTTCAAAAAGCAGCCTCTGTTTCAGCTCCTTGCCTTCTTCTACGCTGTCTTCCAGTTGTAACACCAGAGCCTTCTTTTTATAATCCTGTCCCCTCTGAAGAGGGATCTCGTATTCCTGTCTTCCATTGGGTAAAACTCTCTTCATCATTATGCATCATTAAAGCCGTTTTTCAAAGCCCTTACTATCTTGTTGAAAAGAATAAAAGGAAAAAACATTTTAAAATTATGTTCAACAACATTTTTCGTAGCTAATGCGGTTACAGTATTTGAAATAAAGCCATAATTTTACTGAAATGAATTATCTGAGCTTTAGAACTTGAAAGTTAATGAAACTTTTTAAAAAAATACACAGTTTTATAAGCCCCAGTGAATGCGGCGTTGGAAAAACTTTTTTATTTATTAAAACATGAGTTGGCAAATGCTAACTTTAACAAAATTTTAGCATTTCTTCATTTTGACAAAGAGACCTTCTTCATAATGACCATGAAAAGTGCTGACAAACTTGACTTAACACTCATGATTAGCTGTTGCAAATTCATATTGTCAAAATAGTGTATATTATTTAAAATAAAAATAATAAATTTTTATTCATGCCTTGAGAAACAGTGCTGTGTTCAAGCAGTTTTTCAAATATTAGAAAAGGAGATTAAAAATTCTTCTTATTTTTTAATATATGTTTTTTTTTGGTTGTTTTTTTTCATGTTGACATTTTACATATTTGTAATCATCAAAATTTAATGCAACAGCTAAGAATGGCTTTTACAAACACACAATAAAATAAAATTTGCATATGATAAAAGAAGCCTTTGAAAAACAGCCTTAATGAATTGAAAGAGATTCTAAATTAATCATACTTTCTTACTTTCTATATTTTTCACTAAGCATATTAATCGTTTTTAAATAAAATGCAGAAGTTATTCAGTTGACCTTATTACAAAGGGGCTGTTAAAAACTACAATAAAAAAAGTGCGCCCTGAGTCACTTGTGAATCTAGTTTTTATAAAATGAGTTGCGAATTTCATGGTTTTAAAGAACACTTTTACCATAGGCAAATTGGCGCCAAATGTCATTTAACTTTCAAAACTGGAAATTAACATGCATTTTCTATGAATAAATATATTAACAGAAACTATCAAATTTTTGTGAAAACATAATGCAAAATCTATCTTAAAACAGTGCTATATTTAATATATATAGAAAAAAAATTTAAAATTTATTTACAAAAATTGTTTTGCGTTAAGTAATTTTTTTTTATCAAGATAAAAAGGCTTTAGATTAATAGTTTGAGACATTTTTTTAAGTTTCAGTTAGTTTTAAGGATATGGCGAAAAACACAAAAATAATGTTACAGTTATTGAACTTCTAACCATTCTAGTTAAATTTTCTAAACATTCAAGAGTTATGACTTCTTATATATCAAAAAAAAATAAAAAAATATCGAGAATGTCTGTTTTGTATTTAACTTCATAACTTAATTAATCTTCAAACTAATAATTTTAAATGTTTCTCCCAAACAAACAAAAAATCGATTTTTCATGAGGGGAAATCCAAACTTCTAGATCAAAAATTATATGAAGTATTTCACATATCTGTGTAGTGTAAATAAAAATCATAAAACTGTAATAGAAAGGTGTTGCATTCAGCACAAAAGTACCACAAACTGTTGTAAATAATAGAAAGAAGGAACACCATAATGTTTATTTATTTATTTAGTTTAAGAATATTAATTCATTGCTGAAACAAGGAATGAGAAGTTTGTGTGTATGGGTTTTTATAACTGCAAGTTTTTAATCTGTAAGCTTTTTTACCTTTTTTTTTTTTTATAAAAGTCAAAAGAATTTTTAATTGGTATTATTTTACTTTAGGTCTGGATTTCGATTTTAAAATAAAGCAATATCGGCAGAATTGTTGATTCCCTTTACATTTTTCATGGAAATTCTATTTTTATGAATTTGAATTGTAATTTAAAAAATTTCAAGAAGTTTGGGAGTACATGTATTGTCAAAAAATTTTAATTGTATAACATATACAGATCTCAATTTTAATTTTGTACAGATAAAGCAAGGGTGAAGGAAAACAAACTGCTTAGTATCAAAAGGATTAAATAATTTTTTTTTTGTATTCAATTTAATTCTCTTAATTTAAAGTATTTTAATTTTAGCATCTCCTTAACCACTTTTTAAAAGAATATATATTCTAATTTGTAATTTTTTAATGATTTTGTGTTCTTTAAATTTTTTGAATGAAAAGGTAAGAGAAAAAAGTGAACGCAGTGTTCCCATGAGTAAGCAAAGAAGCAACGATTCTGCTAGTGACTTCAGTTATAGTGATGCAGATAGTAGTTTTGGCTCAAAATCAGCAAAGTCTAGAACTCCCAACCGACTGACTCCAGGAGGTACGTATAAATATTATCTGCTTCTTGTGTCTACTAAATGTATTTCAATCTTTTTATTTATTTACTTCTTGAAAAATTGAAAATTTTGAAGAAATATATAGAAATGGTCCATTTTTTGTATCATTGAGTTACAATTCACTTTCAGTGTAGCTGCTTGTTTTTCCCAATAAACATACCGTACACTATGTCAACTTGTTTGTGTTCATTCCACACAGGGTTGGCAAGTTTTTGACACATGACGGTTTTTACCATGGTTTTTACTGTCATGTCAAAAAACCCTCTGTCAAAAACCCATAGTTTTGGTAAAATTCTTTTTATTTAAGTTTAGCTGCTTATAATTTAAAATTAATTCATTTTTAGGCAATAAAATTAGAAAACAAAGTTGTTAAAAGATATTTAAGAACAGATTCTTGCATTTTCCCAACATGATTATATCAAAACATACTATTTGAAGTAAAATATTAGGATACTAAACAAAATTTTCAACATTTCCAAGCATCATTTTGTTTGGCATATTACATTACTGAAGAATGTCAAGTCATTCTTGACTTAGAGTTTGTTAGTAGTTACAAGTTTTGAAAGTTTTGTTTAGCTTATTTCTAATATTTAAGAAATGCCAAATTTTAAATTCTTCTTTTTAGTTCTTGAATTTATTAATAGTTCCAAGCTTTTTTGTTTGTTTGTTTATTTCTAACAATTAAGAAGTGCAAAATTTTGAATCCTTTGCAAATCAAGCTATAATGATAAAAGTAAGTATCACTATTTTCAATAAGTATATTACAATATTTCTGTATGAATGTATATCCTTCTATAAGAATACATGTATATAGTTGCAAAATCAATAGCAATCATTTACAACACATATTTATAAAGGCAATTATGTGAAAATAATATACTGTCCGCTATATGCCATAAATTAAAGAAAACAGTAGGTTTTTTATGGTTTTTACGACTGTCGTGGCAAAAACCCAACCCTGATTCCACAGTATGGATCAAAAGCAAGTTAGATCTATGCTGCATAGAATTATTTTCAGAATCTCACTATTTTTTTAAAATTGTATTTCGAAAATGTGTGACATTTATTTCCTTTCAACAGAAACACTTTAATTAAAAAAGTAAGGAGTGTTTGTTTTTTACCACACATGAAAAACTGTTTAAAAATGAAAATCTGCTTTTGAAATTTACATGGATACAAATGCTACTATCCAACTGTGCTGTCATTAAAAAATAAAATTATATTTTAGGTTTCAGTACCCGTAACGGTAAGCCGTCGAGCAGGCCGTCCAGTCGTCCGCCGAGCCGAGCGGCCAGTGATCTCTCGGCCAACGATGTCGATAGCTACAGAGCCCGTAAGATGGGGTCATCTGGTGCCAGGCAACGCACTCCCAGTGCCTCGTCTCAGACATCCGGGCGAGGGAGCGGCACCAAAATTCCCACGGTGCGTCGCACCCCCTCCTTCACAAATTCTTCCAGCAAGACTGAACCTGTGAGGCGAGAAAGAGAACGATGGAAATGAAAAGTTTAATTGTATAGATAATTATTACTGCTGACTCTTTAACAGGTGATGAGGCTTTACTAAAGTATAATCCGGCATTATACAAACTGCCATCGTAAGGAACTGGCGAGTTCCTTGTTTTTCTAACTGTGATACCAGGATAAAAGTCTTTGTGGAGAGAAAGCTGGTATTCTATTATTAACTCTTAACACTATTCCTTTTTATCATATCATTAACGTAAATAATGGTTAGCGGTTGGACTGGAATATATTTATTCCGTTAACATTCCAACTACCTAATTTATTGAGTGGCCATTAGATGTTTCAAAACAATGTGGCTTGCCTTTTGAAAATATTGATCAAAGCCTTTTTATGCGATGTATAGTGCATATTTTTAAAATAGTCAAAGCCTGTCGCTATGAGATCTGATTTAGTAAAAAAGGAATTCGTTACTTTAATGGAGCATTCGGTGAAATGAGTGCTTTTCAGGTATTTTTGCAAACACAAGTGCCAAGTGGACTTTCCCTGAAAATAGGTTCTTTGAAAATATATTTAATTTCATAAAACATTTTAATGAATTCTAATATTTTAATGGTTACCTTTTTAGAAAATCTAGAGTTTCATCAATGCTTTATATAGAAAATGTTTTCTCATCTGTGGAGGATGATTTATTTTTGGATGACCATTCCTCAATATTTGTATTTTTAATGAACTATTTTAATCATAGCTTATTCTCTATTAATTTCTTAACGAAAGCAAACCCAATGTTTGCATACATTTTTAATATAAGAGTGCATTCTCATTCATTAACATTTTTTTGTTTGCTTGTTTTTGTTCATTAAAATGTTTGTATAAAGTTGTTCTTCATTGCATTTCTCTAAAACATTTCATAGGACACATTATTTTTGACACTTAAAACTATTGTTTCATACGTACACTAGAAAATTAACTAACTAAAATTAAAAAGACTTCTATTGCTTTATATTTAAAATAAAATAAATGTTGATTTATTACTTGATTAAGAATTTCATTCACTTGAAAAATATACAAAGTGGAACTATCAGTTTAACCTGTTGAAGGGGCTGTTTTAGGCTGAATAATTTTCCTTTAAATTTTTCAATCCTTAGCAAGAATACAAATAGTAAAATAAATGACGACAGAAATTTTACACTTTTTTGGAACAGCAGCAAAAGCATGATGCCATTCACCACAAAACAAATATATATATATACAAGAGGTTGGAAATTAAAGAGGAAGCATAGAGGACGCTACACACTCCCTTCCCAGTGGAAACTATTAAGAAACATAATCCTTTAAATGAGGTGGAAACCTGACGGTTCTTCCACTACGTGTTGTCAGAGGACGAGATCCGGTCCGGGGGTTCGCACTGAGGGTGTGAATCTGTGTTAACCCTTGGTTTGTGAGTATCAAGCGAATGCTTGATATTGTCCTGTGTAGTAAAGCATAGCTTTAGTCAATCAATTGAAATTCTTTTGACTTTTTCATTGATTTCAATAACAAAGTATTTCGATGTTCGGTGCTTGACAACGTAAGGACCAAGATAAACTGGTTACAATGATGGAGGGGCAGCATTATTGTAGATGAAAACATGCGAGCAATTCGAAAGTTGTTTTGAAACGAATACGGCTTTAGTGCCATGAGTAGTCGTTGCCGACACGAAGTCTGAGTGCGTGACATTAGGGATCTTAGTAGCAAATTCTCCAGGTAAACAGAGAGGACTTCCGTACGGAAGCTCAGCTGAAGAATATCCGATATCTTCTTTTAGTGCCGTACGTAATCCGAGAAGAACAAAAGGTAAAGCGTCTACCTAAGATTTATTTTGTTGCAAATGGCATCTCAGGTTGGCTTTTATAGTTCTGTGTTGACGCTCAATCAGTCCGTTAGATTGTGGGTGGTAAGCAGTTGTCCTAGAGGTTTAAAATCCCAAATATCTGCTCAACGATGAGAAGAGTAGGCATTCAAACTGGCGTCCTTGATCGGATGTAATACGTTGTGGTACGCCGAAACGAGAAAACTAGGTTGAAATCGTGCCTTTTTGCTACTGTTTCTGCTAATTGATCCGTCAGGTAGTGCTTCATCCCATCTTGAAAAACGGTCAATCATCGTTAGCAAGTATCTAAAACCTTGGCAAGGGGCCAACAATGTCGATGTGAACATATTGAAAGCGTTCGGTATAAGCGGCCAAAAATAGGTTTCGATTAAGGTTCACCCGAGGTTAGATTAAGCCACCATCTTTATTTTCTTCAGGGGAGTAAACTGAAACATCTACACAAGTGAGGAATTGTTTAGATTTAATTCAATAACATCACGAGTAAGTTTAGAACTAATAATTGTTTTATAAGGTACAAGCGAAAAATTGTGGCTTTAATATTTGAAACTCTCATAACTTCTGATCTATTAGAGTTTTGCCAGTGTGAAAGATTACATTGGATCCAATACTTACTTTATTTTTTCCATAGAGCAATATCAAAATTGTAGGTAGATGTAAGTACGAAATTATACATTTTATGCATAAGTTAATTTTGGAAGTATTAGTTCTATCAGTTTAATTTTGGTTTTATACGATTCAGTGTAAAATAAGTCGTAAGCAATACTTATTTGTCTAAATACGTATTTTAGACACGTTAATGTGTATAATAAAAAATATGTTTTACATACTTGAAACCTCTTATATAACTTCTAAATTATGGGTCCTATCTCATTTATTTTGCTGTTATACGAGTCGGCATAAAAGATGCATAAGAAAAAAATTCTTGTTTAGAGAGCCAAATGTTTAAAATTTACCTCTGGATCGAGATAGCTCACCTCGAGAGAGGGGGCAAACCCAAACCTTTCCCTACTTATTTCCGTGTTCAACTACTTGGAACTGGCCTATAATGATATTTTAGACAAAATGTTTCCCTGTAAGTAAAATTTATCTATTTAAAAAGCAAGCTGTTAAAATTTGACATGATTTCAACCATACATTTGGAATAATAAGACAAAACAATACTATACAATAGTATCTATTAAACAAGACAGAGTACTATAAATTAAAACATTAAACGAAAATTTTTGCTTTCAGAGGAAAAAATAAATGCTAAAATGAGCCTTTATTTACTAATTCACTAACCATGAAAGAAAAAGATGCTGGCACTTAGTTTGAAGAATAAATAACAATGTTTTTCTGCTTTAGAGGAATGTTCAACTGCAACATAAAGGATTAAAAACCATAAGAATGTAAATTTGTAACAGATTCAATGCGATCTACTGTAACACAATACGATTTACGATATAAAGAATTAAAAAAATATAAAAATTTTAAACAAAATGAAGAGGGAAATGACAAATAATTACTTACAGAGTGTTCCGAAATCAACGAACTTAGAATCTTTGATTTGAAAGAAAAATAACACGCACATTGGGTGACTTCAATTATTTAAACGAGGAAGAAAAAAAACTTTATCAAAACTTAACGAATCATTATAGAGAATGCCGAGATTAAAAACGTATAAGCTACAGTAGGGAACGATCAGGACCATCGCCATTCCGGATAACTGATTTTTCCGGTTTTCTGAATCGCTACAAAAAGCTGTTTTTTTATTGTTAAACCCAACAAAAAAAAAAGTTTTTGGAAATAATCTTGAAAAAACGAAGTAATACGCTAATGATTATTTCCAAAATGATGGTAAGGTAAACATCTTTCAAAAAAGGAAGAAAAATCTTAAGAGGAAAAAAAAAAAAAAATTTTTTTTAAATGGCGGGAAAATTTATCGAATTTCGTTCCGGTTTTTTGGTTTTCCGGATAACGGGTTCTGTACTGTATTTGATTACTGGAGATGAACTAGCTATTATTAGAATCGTTTCCAGACTTCATCCAGTCATCAAACTGGTTTTTATATTTTCCAACCCGCCTTCAAAATGAACAGTCACATTTTATCAATATTGATTTGCGACCCCTAAACAATTTTTATTTATTTATAAAAATATGAATTAAGAGTTGCGTTTAAGACTAAGAATATTTAGCTTCTATCAAAACTGACTTATTCTGTTGAAATTTCTAGGATCAATATAAACTTACTGATTTGCTAGAATAAACTATTTGAACCAGTATTCTTTTTTTTTCCTTGAATTTCTTAAAAACAATAGAAAAATTGTCTTTTTCTAAAAGCATCAATGGATATTTTGCACATAAAATAGTCATTATCTTATAATGTATCGGATAATACTAAGTATTATAAAAAGGGAGAAATTTTATTTCATATAAAAAGAGAACGACTCCTTTTCATAAGTATCGATATATTTATATGAAGTAAGTTTTCATCCACTTTTATTTAAAAACAAGCCGAGATCGCTCAGTGCTTAAAACACTGGAATTATCTTTGGGAGCTCACTCTGCTTTTCTTGAAAGTTGAGGACTCACAACGTCATGTTAAGGGATTACTTTTAATTTATCAATACGCAAAACTTCAGGTGGTGGATGTGCAAAAAAGGGGTAAAATAACTGTCGTAAAGACCCCCAAAATGATTGATCTTTTTAGTCGAAAAATTATAATTCTTTATAAATTCGTGATCCCCGCCCTCTATACCTATTTTTAGAATTCTTATCAAAAATGTATTCGCATTAACCCCTGATTATCCCGAGAAAACTCGGAATGTGTCTAGTAGCGTTTTGTTTTTACTGGGCTTGGAAGCAACAAGAAAAAAAAAGATCTGCTGTATGTTAAGCTTTGCTGTCGGATTATGGATCTGCACACGTATTTTTTTCGATTGCAAGCGGACTCTGGATTCGTATAGTCCTGAGAAAAAGAAATTAGAGAACTAGTGTCCATTTTAAGACCCATTCATTTATTGGGTAGAAAGGTGAGCGGGATTTATAAAGTGTTACCTACTGTAAATAATTGGCCATACACTTGAACTACCCATAAATTCGATGAAACATGAACGGGCACGAAATGCGCAAGATGACTCAGTGTTGGCCTCTCTTCTTGACCTCATTCAAACTTTCACTGTGACTGTGTATTTTTTACGATTACAATGTTTCTGAATATACATAAGAAAAAAAAGAGTGAAGAAAAATTGGCGTATCCCTTCACTGGCGTTTGGTAAGTTCCTTGTTTTAAAAACTATCATACAAAGACGAATATTTAACTTTTTACATTTGTCCGAGATAACTCGGGATTGTAAACTGATGGTAAATAAAATGTTTAATGGCAAATAAAAAAAAATTAAAATTTCAACTTAAAACTTGTGTGCTATGATATGATTAAGTTCCTTGTATTTATTAATGAAATAAAAAAAAAAATTTGATTTTTTTCGCATTTTTTTTTCTTTAAAAAAAATTGTTAAGGGAAGCGATTAAGAATCTTAAAATTAATGTTTAAACGGGTTAAGAACAGAGACGCTGTCTAATTCTATCAATGAAGACTGAATACAGAACTAGAATGTATCGAATCCTGTTCACTGTTTTGTATTCTATTAAAGCATTTGCCTCATATTGAGGAGATCTCTGAAATCAGTGAAGATGTTCGACGTATCATTTGCATTTGTTGGAGAAGGGAAGACATATCTTCAAAACCAGTATTTGTTTTATGAGGAAAATATTTGACTTTGACGCAGATTCCCTGAAGGCTCAGACACATTTTTTCATTACATATTTTTTTCCCCGACTCTCTAATTACAAGCAAAAATGAATTTAGGTGTTTTTGATTGCAAAAGGCAGGCTAATAGTTACTAAAAAATCTATTGAATTATATGTGCACTAAAAAGAAAGTTTAAAAATGTTTTTTTCAGTCATATTTAAAATTTATTAATAATTCATTTTTTAAATAAAGAAATTTCAATAATGAATAACTG